TCTCCTCCAGCCCTCCGCCCCCCTCCGTCATCTACTCCCCGACCCCTCAGCCCCTCCTCGAGCTTGAGGAGTTCTTGATCCAGGTCCCCTCCCCGACTTGCACCCCGATCCCCTTCATTTCCCTCCCCTCCCTTCCCCTTCCCTCCCCCTTCCTCCCCTCCGCTATCCCCCCTCCCCTCTCTTTCCCTTCCCTCTTGATCTCTCCACTTCTCTCACCTCCTCCTACCCTTTTCCGCTTCCGCCTCCGCTCCCTCACATCAACCTGTTCGTGAAAATCTCCTTCTCCATTCTCCTGCTCCCTCCTCTGCCCCTTGTCCCCTTCCCGCTCCTGTGCCAGGCCATCTCCCCACCCACTCCTCCCCCTTCCCCCGCCCTCCTGCTCCTGCTCCTGCTCCTGCTCCTGCTCCTGCTCCTGCTCCTGCTCCTCCTTGCGTTCTAATGTCTATATGTCCTTCTTCTCGCAGAATGAGTTCGCGTTGAATTTGCACATCACGGAAACGTGGATGAGAGAATATCAGGTCGTGTTCCGCTCCTGCCTCTCCTCCTGCCTCTCCTCCTGCCTCTCCTCCTTCCCTGCATGGGCTGATCTTCCTTCAGGTTCTTCCCAATAGGACGCATCCTCTCATGCAGATGTCGGGTGGCAGGTCAGGCATGCGGCAGTGCCATCGTCCTCTGACATCAGCCACAGCGGCTTTCTTCTGACGGGCATCCGTGTGAATAAGAGCGCTCCTCCTCAGGTGAAGGTGGAGGCTGCCAACGTGAACTCCGCCAAGGAGGAGGAAGAGATGGAGATGGAGAGTGAGGAGAAGCAGGAGGGGAGGGAAGATGAGGAGGGGGAGGGGGAGGAGGCAAAAGAGCCAGCCGCGAAGAAGCAGAAGACTTGATAGTCAGTGCACTCGGTGTCTTTTTTCCCTTGACAATGAAGTTTGTTCACTCGCTCCACTCGTTGGTCTTGTCGTCATCCACTGCCATGATCTTGGCCTTGCGCTCCTGTCAGCGTGCGAGGAGGAAGCAGAGCAAGCCGCACCTGATACACCGCGTAGACCATGGAGGGGATCTTGTAAAGGAAGCCGTAGCAGGAGATGACAGCTGAGAAAATGGCGGCGATATAGCTGCGAGGAGACGTCATACGCATGATCCGAGAGGAAGGAGAGGGAGTAGCACGGAGGAGGGAAGAGGGGAATGCGGCAGGCAGGACCCTTGCACAAGGGGAGTGAGTGAGCATCGAGCTCGCACAGGAAGTTGGAGGACAGGACGGAGACAGAGAGCGGCAGGGAAGCAAGCTAGGGGAGGGAAGCTTGGCCACCTGAACACCAGCTGGGTGTGACGCTCGGGTCCTTGTGGGCCAGGGACGATGCCGAGGTTGACGTTGTAGATGAGGTAGACGCCGACGGGGACGGAGAAGCAGAGCATGCCTGCGAAGAGGAAAATTCCTGCAGGATAGACTCGCCGTCACACCATTTCTCTGAACCCTTGGCGGATTCGAGCTGGCGGGGAGGGAGGAGGGAGGTAGGAGCAGAAGGATTGGTGAAGGAGGGAGTGAGGCAGGAAGAGGGAGAGGAAACGATCTAGGGGGGGAGAAGGTGGCAGGCGACAAGTGGGAGAGGAGGAGGTTGCAAGGGACCTGGAAGCAGCGAGTCCTGGGGGACGAGGTCGAGGAAACACTCCAGCTCTTCGTCATCAGACATTTCGTAGACCTTGAGGACAGTTGAGCACAGAGCAGAGGCAAAGGTCCTTGCAGGACTGACCATCATGATCTGCAGGACTGCATAGATGGTCGAGAACATGAACAAGAATGCCGACAATCCAGCAAAGCAGTAGAAAATGAGGAGAGGCCTGAGAAGAGGGAGGATCAACCGTCAGACCACAGCATTAAGACAAGACAGCAGGGCACTGACCCCCCTCCAAGATCCCAGCTGGTGGAACAGTAACACAGATCAGGTTTAGTGGTGGAGCAATAACACTGCGTTGCAGAGCCGAAGAAGAGGTCCCACGCCTGCAAGGTAGGAGAGGAGTAGCAAACAGAAAGTAAGCAAGCAGAGAGAGCAGAGGAGAGGGGGAGATGGAACAAGCAAAGGTGAAGGGAGGAAAGCGAGTCGGAGGGATGAGGGGAGAAGAAAGTGAAAAAGGTAGCTCAACAAGGACAGAAGTAGCACCATGCTCCAGGTCAGAGTTGAAACGAGAGCGATGGCGCCGTTTGCTTGAATCAGCTCTTCCTGTCATGTCTGGTGAGAGAGAGAGAGCGCGACCAGTGCAGTCACCTTCATCTCAGCTCCATGCTTACCCTCACTGATAGAGCAGAAAGAAGAATGACATCAGAGCTTTTCGCAAACATCGAGTCTTTGTCAGACCTTGTGTTGGCCCACTGAAATGTCAACATCAGGTAAAAACACTCCGGCCACGACGGCTGCCTCAACATCGCGGTTTGCGGCTTTGAATATCTTCGCTTGAGCTACATTGCAGCATGAATAGAGCTTAAATTGCATGAGATTGTCAACTTGTACACCTGTGCTATCAGGTCTGAAATCTTTATCCTATCGCCGAAGCTTTTGATCCCGATCTCTTCCAGTCTGTGGACGTTGCTGCGAAAGACTGTTAGAGATCACTTGAGGAGTGCCTTGCCATCAAGTACAATTGCAGCAAGAGCGGCCCATCTATCCTGTGAAACAGGAAGTGATCGGCCCACTGCTCGAACTCGCCGTCATTCAAGGACGCCACCCAGGCCGCTGTGACTTTGGCGTCCCAGGACTTGACATCTAGCTTCTCAGGGACAGGTTTCCCGTCCACGAAGCACTTGAGTTCAGTTTGCCACTCGCGGTTTTCTCCATTGAGGCTCCTCCCATCATGCCCATGCTTCTTACTACCCTTGAATGACTTGAGGGCTGGCTTGCTCACCCTTGCCGCCAGCTGTCAACAAGAGAGACAACGTCAGCCTTCCTCATCCCCTTCCTCCCTTCCTCCCTCCGACTCTTGCTCCTTCTAGTCGTGTCTCCTCTCACTGCCTGCATGTTCTGCTTCTTTCCTTCGTCTGACTCTCACGCCGTCTCCCCATGACCTCTCGTCCCCACCACAGCTGTATCCCATCCCTTTTCCCATGCCCGATGTCCAGCCTGCCATGTCTCGATCTGACCGCAGCATTTCTTCCTCGGTCATGTCTCTTTCCCTTCACAACTCGCTCTCCTTCCTCCTACTTGCCTGTCGCGCGATGATCGCCGCTGCCGCCATCTCCGAGAAGCGTACGAGCGGTTTTATCCGAATCAGATCTAAAAGCGTCGATTGATTCGCTTGAAATCAGGAGATTGCGATTTGATCGGTTCAAAACCTTCAGATGCCCATGATTTAATTGCATCTTTGACCGATCTAAATCGGTTTTTCATGGTAAAATCCAGTAAAAGTGGTTTGAACCGAATGAATCGATTGTGACTAGTAACCTCTGGATGGCAAAATTGGTACAAATGGGGTGGGAGATCTGAGGGGGTGGTCCCTGAGGACATGAGGTGGGTACTTCCGAAGGGTCGGGAATGAACAGATAGGGTGGGGTGGTCAAAATTGAGGGTTAGGTGAGCGCGAAGTGTACCTCTGCGATCGAAGTACCCGGTGTTTGCAGTAGGGGAAGGGGGTATTGATTGGTTGTACCCCACCCCATACTGCCGGCAGCAAGTGCCCCGGGTACTCCATCGGGCAGGGTGGTATTCAGCTCTAAAGATACATTCTATGGGGTAGGGGCCATCTTGGGGGTGGGGTACTTCCAGTCGTAATTGGGGGTAGCAGAAAAGTGGGTGCCTGAAGGTTCACTAATGTCCACCCCCACCCCACCCCCAGGCGCGGTCCATGGCCTTGAAAATGACCCCACCAATCAATGTCCCTGTCTAGAAACGGGTAAATACGGGGTACTCTGAGAGTAGATATGGAGATTATAAGGGGTGGGTACTCAACTTGCTGCCATACAATGTGGGTGGGTACTTTCGTGTTTGAGCAGGGGGTGGGTGGTAATCCGAACAGCGGAGGATGGCTGAGAAGAGGACAAGGAGCGGTGAAATGGAGCAGATGAGGAGGGAGCAAGAGAGAGGGAGCAAGAGAGAGGACGGTGCAGCGAGGACAGTGGATGGATCAAGGATAACGAGGATAGGATTGTGAAATTTGGTGGGCAAACCAGCTCTTTAGAGACATTAGACCGGGCTCGAGAGATTGAGCGGAACGAGATTCGGTGAGCTTGCAGCTGAGTGGCTAGAATGAAGGAAAGGAGGACTTGCTGAATAGTTGGTAGCCTGTTTGTAGGTATGCTAGCGCGATGCTGTGCTACAGATGAATAGTGATCATCGATCTGAGAAGGGTGAATGACTGCCTGACAGGGCATCGTCCTTCATCCATGGCGTCAAACTCAAGAGCGCAAATAGGTGGGAACGGTTGACGTGGTCAGTCGTTTGATTGACCAGCCTGCTTGTTTCTCCAGGCAATGATGACAACTACAGTCATTTCTCTGTATCGCGAGAGCTCTCCGAGTTGAACTATCACACTTCGCAGGTGTGCATGAACAACACTGCGTGATGGGTTCTGACAAGCTCCTACAGAGTGCAAATGGAGACGCATACTCTAACTACGAGAAATACCTGAGCATGTTTGAGGGAGGACAGGTGGTCACGTCGTACAAGGTAAGCGTTCCAATGATAGCTACCAAGTTTGAGATAGCATGACAGGAAGTTGAAGGGTGGTCGGAGAGACATGTTGCTGCATGGGTCAGCACACTTGACCATGGAAAGTTCAAAATGTGGACCGATTGCATCATCGACCATGTCATAGACGGGCCTGTGCTCTTCGAGATGACCATCCACAAGCTTGAAGAGATAGGTGTGAAGAAGTTCGGAGACAGGACGGAGTTGATGCAGCATATTGAGAAGGTGGACCTCTCTCCTTATTTTCAGTTGTGTCTGCTCATCAATCTTGCGATATCAGCTCCAAAGAAGATGCAAAAAGCCGAACTCTGGAGAATTGACAAGACCATCTTACCTAATGTGCATCTACGACATGGTCACGTTCAGTTGGGCTGACACAAGCGAGGGGAAGGGCGGTCTGGAGATCAAGGTTCTGATATCCCTGGAATCTGCAGGGCCCGACTGACTGTGACTTGTCATTGTCCAGGAAGAATTGGTTCATGCTAACACGTCGATCGCGCTGGTTTCAACACTGACGTGGAGCATTGTAAGTTGCAGTCCCATTGGAGGATACCAAGGTCATGTTTCTGTTTAGGCATGGGACCTCTTTTTTGGTTCTGCAACAGATTGCTATTGCAAAGTAGACACAGAAGACTGCTTCTGTTCTACAAGCTGGGATATGGAAGGAAGGTAAGGAGTGCTTTCTTCGATTGCCGGGGACACTGATAGGATGGCAGGCCGCTGGTTGTGTTCTATTGCTTTACGTAAGAGTTGTGCACGCTTGTCAGCTTCCTTCGTTGAGCTTTGTCGAACAGTGGTTTGTCGGCGTTTTTCTTCATGTTCTCGACCATTTTTGCTGTCCTGCAAATCATTATGGTTGCGATGTTGTTGTTGACTGTGACTCGCGATGATTGAGAGGACTACTCTGCAGGTATATGAGATGAGTGATGAGCAGGAGGTAGAGACTTTTTTCGATATGTTGGGCAAGAACACCCAGCTTCCAGGTGTTCTGATTCGCATGTTACGGTTCCCAGCTCGTTTGACACAGAATGTATCAAGGCGCTTTCCTCTTCGTCGGCATGATCTGCTTCTGCGTTCCCATGGCGTCCTACTTGATCTTCAACGTCAACCTGGGGCTGTCCCCGGGGTCGAACGACTCAGGTGTACTAGCTCTGAGGTTCGTCTTCCCCTGCTCCCCTTGGGAGGGTATTTACCCGGTCGCTCAGCTACGTGGTCGCTATCTTCTCACTGTGTACTTTCCTTTATGGCTTCCTCTACAAGGTAGAGAAAAGAGGAGAGATTGGATGGATCTGACCCTCTTGTTCCAGATCCCCAGCATGATCTCCTCTGTCTACGAGGTCCCCTGCAATCTTCCGTGTCTTCCGTGCACCCTGACATCTGGTTCGTTAGGCCAAGATCCGTGCGTACAAGAAGGATATGGAGCTAGCTGACTGATTAAGCTTCGGAGGGTTCTTGAAAGGAGTGTAACGAATTTCCCCCCCATAAATTCTCCAATGGCGGGAGCTCAGCAATGCAACGTCAGGCTCCAAGTCCCCGCCGCACAGGTTAAGATCTTTTTAGCGACGTGTAAAACTCCGCCCAATGCGCTGGGCTCTTGGAAACTTCCAACCGCGATCTTGTATCTGCACACAAACATTCAAAGAGTGGGATGGGAAACACAAGCTCAAGTCCTACAGTATGAGGCAAACCAGGAGGGACAGTGATGCAGATGAAGAGAAGAGGAGGAAGGGGTTTCTGCACGAAAAGCTCCTCGCCGATCTCAGCATGGAAACTGCACCCAGAGCAGACGAACAGACCTCGTCAGCAGGCAACCCGCAAGCATGGTGAAGCACCCCACCACTCCGAACCACCTGGAGTAGAGCGTAACTAGGGGGTTCGAGGAGCCGGTTCGTACCAGTGCGAGCTCTCAATCACTGCCACTGCATGCGTTGCGCCCATGACGAGCCCTGACACTAAAGGCAGCAACGGCGAGGGGGCGCGTTCCTTGGAATGATGCCCGGTAGGATAGTAGGCAGTGAGGAGCGAGAGGAGCGAGAAGTACGACGCGAAGAGGATCCAGTGCCTGTCAGGCTGTCAGGTGGAGGGATGAAGGGGAGTCCAGGCACCCCATGTCCTCATCCAGGAAGTGAATCAGGTCTAACACATCTCGAGGCATGTCCTGTCGATGACGTCAACATAACAACCTTCAAGTTCATGCTCTCCTCCTCCCCCTGCCCCTGCCCCTGCCCCTGCCCCTGCCCCTGCCCCTGCCCCTGCCCCTGCCCTTGCCCCTTCCTCCTCCCCCTGCCCCTGCCCCTGCCCTTCCTCCTCCCCCTGCCCCTGCCCCTGCCCTTCCTCCTCCCTATTCCCCTTCTCGTGCCCCTGCCCCTGCCCCTGCCCTGCCCCTGCCCCTGCCCCTGCCCCTGCCCTTCCTCCTCCCTATTCCCCTTCTCGTGCCCCTGCCCCTGCCCCTGCTCCTTCTCCTGCCCCATCACTTTGCTGTAGTCTTTGATTTCTGTGGCGTAACTGTGGATCGCGTCCGCAGAGCAGTGCAAGATGCGCCCCATCTGATGGCGAAATGAGGTGAAGAGAGGCAAGGAGAGGCAAGAGGATTCCTGGAAGACGAGCACAAGCGTGGAAGCAGCGCGGTAGGGGCTCAAAAATGACGTGCTCTCGCGGTCTGCTCGGTCGAACACCATGCTCAAGAGCGACTCCAGCACGTGCGAGTAGAAGAAAGTCAGGACACAGAAGTCAACAGTGTTGTATCTGTAGAACGACAGAGTCAGGGCGATGAAGGAGAGGGGTTGGGGCGGGACAGGACAAGGGGAAGTAGGTGGCGGAGGAGAACGGCAAGGATTAGAGTGAGAAGGGGGTAGGAGAGAGGGAGATAGAGTGCGAGCTGTAGACAGCAGGATGTGTGAGAGAGATACAAGGAGAAGGAAGAGGTAAGAAGGGATATCATGAAGCATTACAGCCTGAGCTTCCCAAAGAGCACAACTTTGATGTTGGCTTCAAGAAACAAGAAGACGACGAGAGGGACGAAAGCGAGTTGGAAGAGGAGGAGACTGGTGGCCTTGAACGAGTTCGTTCTCGTGCGATATGAAGCTTGTCTCGTGTCTCCATCTCCATCTCCTCCCTTCTCGTCTTCCTTCCCGTCCCGTCCTCCGCCCGTCCTGCGCCGCATTGCGATTCGCAAGAGCGCGATCGGGCGGTTTCAACAAGGGGGCATATTCGGATGTAGGGGTCCGTCAGGGGCTAGGAGAGGGTGGGGTAATGAATATGGCGGGAGTTCCAACGACAGTCAGGGGAAGGACAACGATGGGAGGGAGGAGGAGAGGAGGAGAGGAGGAGAGGAGGAGCAGGAGGAGAGGAGCAGGAGCAGGAGAGGCAACGGGCAAGAGGAAGCCTGTGTTGTGGAGGAGGCGTTGTGCTGATGAAACTTCTGTTGGCAGCGATGTCGTCCCTTGAGCTCTCCAGCCTCGTCCAGGCCCTGCAGGAGATCGACGAGGGGGTCAGGCGCGTACCATGAGGGGGCAGCTGCTGAGTCGCCTGACTTGAGCATGAAGGCTGTCGCGGCAGGAGAAGATCTCGGAGCTGCTAGAGAGCGCAGAGAACGCGCGGTCCTCCAGGAATCTGGAAGATGCTTCCAAGCTGATCAAGCAAGTAAGTGGGTGGAAGGAGGAGTGCAGGCGTGTGCTGAGGCGTCCCAGGCGCTGGATCAGTCCCTCGAGTTCTTCCCCGGAGGCTCTAAGGACCAACTTCTCGTCCAGCTCGACGGCACGCAAGAGAAGGTCTCCCATGCTTCCTCCTCCTCCCTCCTCCCTCCTCCCTCCTCCCTCCTCCCTCCTCCCTCCCCCCTCCTCCTTCCCCATCCCCCGTGCCCAACTGAAAGAGTATTACAAGATCGAAGCGCTCCTTGACTCCGACGTGACGCTTGAGAGCGCTCTGGACATCCTCGTCATGAGATCGCAGCTGCTGCTGATGAGCGCGGAGCTCAACATGGACAGCGGGAGCTTCGCCGCGGCCATGTCGGAGCTGGACGAGGCTCAGAGCATCTCGGAGAAGCTTTCAGATGAAGTGCTGCCCGGATCTTGACAGGCAGGCAGGTCGCTGACAGCATGTCAGGTGGCGGCAGCCCGATGCATCCGAACGCGCGGGATGCTGCTGTTGATGAGGAGGGAGATTCATGCTGCGGAGGAGGCGCTGCTCAGGGCAGTTGCGCTCTGCAAGAGTGCCGGTGGGTTGAGCCGTCGGATGGAGGAGAAGTGGTCACTCCTGGTGCAGGGGACATGCAGGAGGAGGTTGAGACCCTGAAGCTGCTCCTGCGACTCCACAGAGATCGCCCCAAGATGTTCGACAGGTGCTGCGAGCTCTACCATCAGGTGCGATCTCTGTGCCCCATCCTCGTCCCCGTTCACCAGACGCGGCGGGCCAGATGCTGGAGGCGCTCCAGGCAGCTGGGAACATGCTGGAAGTGAACAAGACGCTGCTAGAGCTCGGGCAGGTGAGGCCCCTACCGATGCCGCTGGATCCGGCGGAAGGGCTGAGAGGGCGCGTGCTGTCAGTTCCGTTTGAAGAAGCATCTCGCCGATACGGAGGGAGGGAGCGAGCTCGAGTTTGCGGAGTTGGAGATGACCGACCTCGACCTGCAAGGAGCCCTGAGCTTCTTCGAGGGCGAGGAGAGCGACAATGTAGTGGTGTTGCTGCGAGCGCCTCGTCCTCTGACCTGGATGGAGCAGGAAGATTGCTTGGCAGAGGCCTTGATTGCGACAGGGACTGTCAAGATGCTGCTGGGGGATCAGGCCGCCTCGATTGACGCATTAGAGCGAGCGAGAGCTCTGTAATGATGAAGGCCTCGCGCTACGATGATGCTCTTGCTCGCTCTTGTCCTTGTCCTTGTCCTTGTCCTTGTCCTTGTCCTTGTCCTTGTCCTTGTCCTTGTTCATGATGATGATGATGATGATGATGATGATGATGATGATGATGATGATGATGATGATGATGATGATGATGATGATGATGATGATGATGATGATGATGTTCGTTGCAGGTACGAGCGGCAAGGGGACGAGGACGGAGAGCGAAGGGCGTCAGATCTTCTTCATCAAGTGAGCGAGGACGCAGGCGAAGTTTACGGTGGAGGATGAACTGAAGGCCCCGCAGGTCCGGAAGATCATGGACAAGGTTGACTCCACCTCCGTCACTCCAGTGAGCTGACCCTAGCGAGATGCTCGATATTAAACGTGTAGAGTACGAGGACACTGAACTTCCGAGTCGGCCCTGTGCGGCTCGCCGCCTCAGTGACTGAGTCAAAGTCCACAAAGACTTCTTTGCTAGGACCGTCAATGGGCGGCCTGGCCCCTCGCCGCCGTGATTGGCGAGGCAGGTCAAGACCTGATGGTGTACCCCAGGGTGTACCCACCCGACCTGCTCAATTGTCAGTCACGCGCCCGCGCTGGCACCCGGCCAGCTGGCCGCCCCGGGCCGGGCGGTCGGGCCCGGGCCGGGCGCCGCCCGGGTGCGTAACAATTGAAACGACTCATTAAATTCGATGTAGGGAGATGGCACGGGCGGATTGCGCGGGGGAATGGCTGGAGGCGACGAGGGCGAGGGGAACGAGCGGAGAGGTAGAAGAGATGGGAAGAGATGAGGTAGAAATGCAGGCAGGACGAGAGACAAGAAGGAAGACAGGAAGATCCCTCCCTCCCTACCTCCGTCCCTCCCTGCGTCCTTGTTTCGCTCCCTCCGTAGTTTTCCATGCCCTCCCCCCCCCACCTTCCCCATCTCCTTCCCTCTTCCCCTCCTTCCCTCCCCTCCCTCCCTCCCTCCCTCCCTCCCTCCCTCCATCCATCCATCCATCCATCCATCCATCCATCCATCCATCTCTCCTTTCCACATTCTCTTCCTCTTTGCATCGACCTGATTTTGAGGCTCAAACAGAAAACTGAGCATGAGTATTGCAGGATCACAGCTCTCCCCGGGCCATGTCCGACACCAGGAAGATGCGGGGATGGGTCAGAGGGAGATGACGAGAGTTCAAGCATGACGCGTCCGAGCGGGAGCTAGCATGTGCACAACAAGGGGAGCATGAAACCTGCTCTCTTCGGGGCTGTCCTCCTCCTGACCATCACGACCATGACTGAATCGTCGATCCGACAGAGGGTCAGCTCGAGCGCTCAGGTCAAGAAGCAGAGCCAACCGCCCAGCCAGGCGGTCAAGCAGAGTCTGCAGGGGCAGAAAAACGGGAAGGATCCGGGTGAACAGGCAGAGCGAGCAGAGAACAAGGTCCTCATGACTCTGCTCGAAGTTCGAAAGAGGTTTCAAGCCAAGACAGCCGCGGCAAACGCAACGAGCGCTGATGGTGTACCCGCCCGACCCGAAGTTTCCGTCAAGACTGCACAGCCAGCCACCGCCCACCAACCTGATGAAGACGACAATGGAGCCATGAACTGGGAGAAGGAAGACTGTGTCGTCTGCAGTGAGGGCCTGCAGAGCAAGGTGATCGGTAAGATAGACTGCAACAGCAGCCACATCTTCTGCTTCGACTGCATCTTCAAATGGGGCGCCACCTGCGAGAACTCCTGCCCCCTCTGCAAGCAGGTCAGGGACGAGCCGAAGGAACTTCCCAGCTTGACCAGATGGCAGGAGTTCGCCAACATCGACAAGCTGATCATCGCGCCTGAGGAGTCGACAGCTGGACGACGGTTGGGGTCCGGGTACGGAGAGCGTTCGCCACCAAAGTAATCGTGACGGAGGGTGGCAGGTTGAGCGCCGAGGAACAAGGAGGCGCCTTCTTTCATATCCTGGGGTCGAGGTGGAAGCGGATCAGTAGCGTCACGATAGAGAAGCGCAAGCAGGTTTGCGACATTCTTCTTCCTCGATGTTCCTTGACTCTGAGTTGTGACCTCCCTCGTGTATGTAGCGAGTCGAGGACGAGGACAGGGGGTTGGAGGAAGGAGGGTGTCAGTTGTGCGGAGCCGGAGGAACGCTGATCATGTGCGATGACTGCGACCAGGCATTCTGCCTGGGATGTGCGAATCTCACGCAAGATACGGTCAGGGAGCGTGACGACTGCGGTGTTGTTGCTGACGTTGGATTCAAGATTCCTCCCGAGCAAGTCCCCTGGTTCTGCCAGGAGTGCGAGATGGCTTCCAACGAGGAGACGGGAGGCGGTCGAAGGACGAGAAGCATGAGCGAAGCAGCGATCAGGAGGTGTGACATGCTCTGCTGGCAACGATGTTCCCTGACCTTCAGCTTCAGATCTGCAAGGCGACTGGGAAGGAACTACGGGAGAGGGAGACGGAATTCTCTGGGAGGGTTTGTCGTGGACGACGGTTTCAACGACATCGAGGTGAATTCAGCGATGGAGCAGAGGGATGGAGAGGGGAGGAGGAGCGGGGGATAAGATTTGGGAGAGAGAAGAGCGAGAGTTGGGCTGGTTGACTTGCTCGGTAGGATCAGGAGTGGATTCCCGATCAGGAGGAGGCTGAGGTGACAGCGCCAACACGGTACCGGACAAGACGTAGCGCAAGGCCTCAGCCGAACGCCACCAGGGGAACGCAGGACGAGTCAGAGTGGCAGCAGCTCTTGACGGAGCTGGACGAGATTGAAACAGGACGAGCACGGAGGTCTGCGGCCAACCCTCCTCAGACTCGCTCCCGTCGCCCTCCCACCTCCCTCCGACCCTCCAGGACTCAAGGGAGACGCAGGCCAGCACGGCAGCGTCCTGCTCGCCAGGCTCAGCGCCGGAGGAGGCTCAACGAGAGGGAGAGCTCGGACTCAGAATGGCTGCCACACAGGGAGCAGGAGGACTGGGATGAAAGTCTTGCGGAGGAGGAGGAGGAGGAGGAGGAGGAGGAGGAGGACACTTCCTCGAGCTCGCATGTGCTCAGCTCTGTCAGCGAGGAGACATCGGAAGATACAGAACCAGTGACCTCCTCCAACAGCGCCTAATTCCCAGCCATCTCCTCCTTCTCGTCTAGCCTGGTCGTCATCACTGTCCTGGTTCTCGCTTCTTACATCCTCAGCTTTGTAAATACGATTTTTAATGCTTTCCTGTTCCAATGTCTTCACTGTTCAGCTGACCCTGTGCCTTACACGCCTGTCCATATAACCCTACACGCCTGTATAAACAGTCTTGGCTGAGGCCGGTACAAGCTCATCCATATCTAAGAGCACAGTCAGTAAAACAGCAGCCTCCTCCTCCTGCCTGTCCTCTCTTCCCGCTCTCTTCCCTCCCTCCTCCTTTTCACCAGTCTGCTTCAGCCCTCCCCCATCCTCTTTGCGTGACCTGCCTCTACCCATTCCCACTCCATCCCTCCTCCCCCTCCCCTCCCCCCCCTTCCCTCCCCTCTTATCAGGCTCCTACCATATTTGAAGATGGTGAGTGCGCGAGGAAGCATGGTGTAGCACCACAGCGCCACCTCAATGAAGAACATGTGCACCTGCGCAGCCTCAGTCCCCCCCCTCCCCGTCCGCTCCCTCCGACCTCGAACTGGATCCCCCGCAGCCACTTCCTGAGCAGGTTCGAGAAGCGCAGACGACGGCTGTCGAGCAAGTCTTCGTGCTCGTGGACCTGTAGATAGTCAGGAGAACGGGAGGCATGGCGGCGCGCGTCAGAAGAGAGTGGGGGGCGGGAAGCGGCCAGGAGCAGGAGGGAGGGCAGGTGGAGCGTTCTTCTTACGTTGCCCTCGGCCGCGAGTCTTGCATAGATGCGGAATCGTTCTCTCGGACGAAGTCCTGCGGACCTTGTAAGCAGCTCGTGCCACCCAGCACATCACCATGCTGCTCCTCATGAGCCTCCTGCCATGCCCATCTGCTGCTCCTCTACCACCACCACCTCCTCCTCCTCTTCCTCCTCCTCCTGACTCCTCCTTCATCCTCACCAAGGTCGGAGCACAGAGCGCGGACGAGGTTCTGGGTGCGGATGATAAAGAGCAGATCTCGGGGGATCTTTTCGATGAACGTCAACACCTGCTCAAGGTTGATGGTGAGGCAGGTGAAGGAAAGAAGCCGGGCAGGTGAAGCTGAAGATGAGGAAGCTGGAGAGACAGGGGGAGCACGAGGAAGGAGGCAGGAGTGCTACTCAAAGATCGCGTGCGTTGCTAGAGAAGGCAAGACAAGGATCGATGAAAGCGCGGGGGGAGGGAGCAAGTGAGCAGGAGGAGAGGCGACGAGGGTTGAGAAAAATGCGAGGGATGGGAGGTAGGAAGGAGCCCAGTGATCCGAGGAAGTCACCTCCACCAAGTCGAAGTCATCCTACGGTCATAAGGATCAGAAGAGTTAGGCAGGAGGAAGAGGAATAGGAGGAGGAGGAGGAAGAGGAGGAGGAAGAGGAGGAGGAAGAGGAGGAGGAAGAGGAGGAGGAGGAGGAGGAGGAGGAGGAGGAGGAGGAGGAGGAGCAGTGGCAGTAGCAGCAGGAGGGAATCACCTTGGTGAAGCCAGGGATTCCGAGCTCCGAGCGCACCCTCGTTCGCTCCTCCGACGACATACTGTCTCCGTCTCACCGACCGCAACCGACGAGCATGCAGCTCACCGTTCGCCCAGCCTGACTTTGCTGTCTATGGAGCGCATGGTGAAGATGAGGGGAAACAGCTTCGCGTACTTGCCGACCCCCATCTCCATGGAGACCTGCTGGGCAGTCACCACGAGGAAGCTGAGAAAATGAACCTGCCTCATCCAGCTTCCTCTTGTCCTGCAGCACCATCGCCTCCCACAGAGTGCAGTAAGTCTTCCTCGACTCCGACGAGATCTCCCGATAGAGCCCGTGGTCGAGCACTACCTGGAGCCTCCTTTCAGATTCCTCCTCCCCCTCTCCTCTTCCCCTCCCTCTCTCCTCTCCTCTTCCGCCTCCAATTCGTCCTCTTCCTCCTCCCTCTCTCTACCTGACTTCTTCCCCACTGTTGACCCCTCTTCTCTCACTACTCCTTCTAGTCTCCGGACCCCAACCGCACGGCACGATCCACACTCATGATATCTTGTTGCTCGAAGCCTTTCCTCCCTTCATGCTTCACCGCCGCTACCTCCTCCTCCTCATCCCCTTCCTCCTGCATGCTCACCAAGTTGTAATTTCGGCCAGTCCGACCGTTGGTGACTTTTTGGACGAGCATGTTCCCCGGGTGAGGATCGCAGTGGACAAAACCGTGCAGGAAGATCATCTCCCCAAACAGCTTTTCGATGGAGAACGTCAAGGAGCAGGAGGAGAGCAGGAGACGAGACACCTTGGTGACGGACTGAGCAACCTTGGTCGGGTCGATTCCTTGCTGAATAAGCTTCTCCTTATCGTCGATCTTGTTCCGGATCAGGAGCATGCTAACAGGTCAAGAGCCATACCTTGACACCCTCGATGAACTCCATGGTGAGGACGCGCTTGGAACAAAGATGCTCCACCAGCAACGGGACCTGCATCGACCTCGTCAAGTTCGGAACGAGGGGACAGCAAGCATGCAAGCAAGAGCTGGCTGCAAGGAAAGGAACTCACGCGGATGTCGACATCGTTCCTGAAGTTGTACGCGCATTGCTTCAAGTTGGCACACTCAGACCTGACGAGAACAACACCGAGGCTTCAGCCCCCATCTCCCCCTTCCCGCCCTCAGCAGCAGACACAACGGCTACCGAAAATCAAGCTCGGTGTCGAGGTTGGATCGGAAAACAGGAAGAATCCACTTGACCTTCACGGGGGTCAGACAGTCGGGCGAGGCAGGTAGAGCTCCAGCAAAGAGTTTCAGCAGACCTGAACTCCCTTGAACAGCAGCTCGATCACTGCAGGACAGGAGGGTCAGCGGGTGGGGAAGCTATAGCGAGGCTGCAGACCTGCAGCAACAACCTCCACCGCAAGGAGATCGCTCTCAGTGTGCTGACTCATCCAAGAATGCTGAACTTTGACCGCAACTGCCAGCACGGCACCCTCAGCGGCTCCCGTCCTCGCCCTCCATCCTCACACACCGGTCTCGGGGAACTGCTCAGGAAGAGCTGAACGCTTCTTCAGACGAGCCTTGTGAACCTGCGAGAACGGACGTTGGCGGGTACCTCGAGTCTCTTCACCCCAACCACCCCCCCTCCTCCTCCTCCTCCTCCTCCAACCTGTGCGAGAGACGCGCATCCCACAGGGACGGGATCAAAGTCCTCGAAGACGTCGCTCATCTCCATCCCGATGTCATCGCTGATTCTCAACCTCAGCATCTCCCCCTCTCACTTCCTCCTCTTCCAGCAAATCAACAAACTCACGCACCGGAACACCCTCTCCACGTCCTGCAACGTGCTCTGCGGTGCCTTGTCGCAGAGGCAGGACAGCGTGTCCGTGAACTCTGCCGGGATGACCGGCCGCAAGGACGAGATATGCTGTCCAGCCTGTCCCATCACGGCGTCACAAACACCTCGTGGCGCATGTCGAACTGACTTTGATGTAGACCCCCGCCTGTTTCTGGCACAGCCGCAGCAGCTCATCGGCTGACCGCCTGCTCGAGAGGACCTCACACGTCACTGCACCACCCCTCCTGCACGCTTGTGGACTCACCGGTGGCACTTCGATAGCTCCTCCTTGTACTGGTCGGTGGACTTGTACAGGAAGATGGTTCTCTTGTAGTCCACAGCCACTTTCCCGAGGACCCAGAAACTCCGGCATGCTCTTGTGACCGACGTCGTGACGATCTCTACCCTCTCTGCCGCCTTTTTGTAGCCTCCAGACTGCACGATCACTCCAGCAGACACTAGCCCCACAGACACGAGCCCGGCTCCAGCGAAGGACTTCCATGCCTTCCCACCGCCCCCATTCGCTTTCTCACCGCCAGCACTGAAGTATCTGCATCGATGGCGCGAGGTGTGAGCGTGGAATAGCGCCTGATCCTTGCAGGCTCGGACCGGGAATCTCAACATTCCAACAAATCCTGTTGAAAACGGCGAACGATGGCTCATCGTGCGGGTGGTCGAGCGATCTGACTTGCCTGCCCTGTCCCTGCTTGTCCTCCTTCTCTCTCTCGCTTCCTCTCTGCTCTCTCCCCCTGCGTCTCTCCTCCTCCTGCTCTAGTCACTCGCTTCCGTCATCGGTCTCATCTCCATCGTCCTCCCTCCATTGCGCTACCTTGAATCCCTCATCCCCTTTCATCCCTATCCCTCTATTGGCTGATCCTTGCCCTCTTCCCCTTACTGACCCAATGTTGGCGACCGTCCGTTTCAGACGCCGTTACTGTAACCGTAGTAATGTCCTGAGCCGCCTACGGAGTTGCGACAGTCCGACTGTCAGCCCAGCTCAAAATTTTTGAGGAAGTTTCCATTGTGTAGCCTAGTATATCACATTGAATATGCCGTTTGTAAACACAACAGTTCCTTCAAGTCTTTTCTACTTAACTTAATGTGTGTGCCAACATGTCACAAGTTCATTGCGTATGTGTCACGTTGGCATGTATTTTTGGCGGCCTCGTCACGGTACAGTAAGGTCACGGGGCAGGCACTCTTCGGCAAAGTGGTCTTGAGTCAGTTCCAGACCACGATTGTAACAAGCCCGGAACTTGAAATGATGTTGGATGCCCCCCCCCCCCCGCTACTAGTACTGATCGTCACTTAGTAAGGTCGAGGTAAAGGAGAGGTGGAGGAGCGGGTCACAAAACTTGATTAAAAATACATTACAAACAAGAACATCGACAGTCGGACTGGCTTGTCAGCTTCCATGCTCCTGTGACGACGGTTTCAATCAGCGAGAGCAGGGAGGGAGACTGGAGCAAGCAAGCAGACCTGGAGGAACTTCACCATTCTCGGGTCCTGTGAGGCTGAATTCTGAAGCTTCGATGCAAGCTGAGCACCGACCATGGCAGTGTCCTGCAAGCAGTGAGAGCCTGTGGGTCCACCACCTCCTCTGAGCGACTCACCACGTCGAACATGGTGGTGAGCCGAGAAGCGTTCTTCTTCTTCTGGGCGCTCGAAACCTGCGCTTGCTCTGCTTTCTCGTTAGCTCCTCGAGCACCTCAAAAACGACGGACTAACCTTGGAGCTGCTGGGACAGAGTCTGTGCTGGCGCCGCGGCCGCTGGCTCCTGCTTGGGGTGATTCTTCTCGAACAATGCATGCTTGGACAGCTGATCTGCCTTGCTCGCCTCGTTCTGGTCCACTTCATGCATGCTTGTCAGACGCGCTGCTAGCGAAGATTTCTTCTTGCTCTGCTGCTGCTCAAAGAGTGCTTGCTTCGCTTCGAGAGACTCAGGCTTCGTGCTCTTCACTGTCACAGTGGGTACATCCATGTACTCCACAGTCTCCGGCGGCGGGAAGCTCGAGGAGCCGAGGGCGGCATCGATCTCGTGCATGCTTGTCAGCCTGCCTATGTTTCCCTTCCCCTTTGCCGGCTGATTTTCTGGTGGAGCCGCGGGCGTTCGATGCAGCAGTGCAGAGTTCACCTCCTCCATGCTGGTCAGCCTCGCACCTCTCGCTTCGCTCGGTTTGCTCGCTGGCAGGAAGGGAGCGTGAGGAGATCGCAAGGGGATATGTGAAGTGGCCGGCATGAAGGCTTGAGGAGAAGAGACCTGCGAAATTCCAAGGGAAGCAGTTGGTTGAAATTGACGAGCGGGAACGGGAGAAGATTGAGCGTGATAGACGTTTGCTTCCGGGACAGGTTGAGAGGGATGTCCCACCATTCGATCGTTGTGCTCCCTACTCTTGTCACCGAGCTTGACGGGGTGAGCCTGAAGAACCTTTGGGAACTGCAAAACCTTCCCACCTTTCTCCTGCGACCGGCAGTCAGACCTCTTGCACATTTGCCCGGAGAGCAGCACAGAGTGTACCTTGAGCTTAGCAGGGATATCGTCGTTCTTCTTGATGGGTGTGATCTCAACTTTGGTTGAGGGAGAGCTGGAGGCGAAGTCGTACACCCTGCTGGGCTCCCTAAGAGTCACCTGCGGAGCTCTTGTACCCTGTCAAACGCGCCAGCCCTCATGAGTCCTTCAAAATCAGTCAAAGTCAAATTACCGGAGGCTCAGCGGTGTCAACGGATCTCTTCACTCCGTTCTCTGTCGTGGCAACGGGTGACGAATCCATGGCTTGCTTCAAGCCAGGGTTGACGCTCATAGATCTTGCAAGCTTCACTTGACTGACAGCTCCGGAGTCCTTGTCCTGTAGGGTTAGAATCAAGTGACTTCCCTCTGGTCCAAGGACGATCTTCGACAGGTCAGGGAAGGCGAGGCCAGTGACGGCATTCGAGTTGACCCCTAGCAGGACGTCTCCTATCTTGACTTCCCCTGATCGCTCTGCAGAACCCCCAGCCTCCAACCTCTTGATGTAGAACTGCTTTCGACCATTGAGTCCGAGGGCTATGCCGACGCCACAGCTTTGTCCAGAGGCTGAAGCAGTTGATGCCTGACGATCCATTTCGAGCGCAGTAGCATCTCTTGAACCTTGTTGTATTGTGTCTTTGGGAGTTGCTTCCTTATTTCGATCGTTTCTTGTTGCTGGTGTATCGTTCGGTACAGCAAAACGAACTCTGGATCGACGTCGTACTTCTTCTTCCTCAACATCGATTTCCTCCTCCTCCTCCTCCTCCTCCTCCTCCTCCTCCTCCTCAATTTCTCCTTCCTCTTCATAGGCATGCAAGGACGGTGAGGCAACCACGTTCTCGTGCTTGATCACCGTGGCAGGGTGCTCGTACTGGGATATCCCCAATTCATGACTGTAGTAGTAGATAACCCCGTCCTCATCACAGGAAGACTCCCAGCCTGGAGGCAGCGGGTCGTCGGCAGCCTCCATCAAATTCCTCGCTTTTTGATTCTTGTTCAGCTCGATTACCTCCGCAGTTACACTGACATTGGGCCCAAGGGAGGACGAAGGGATGGCAGCCTTCGGTCTACCTTGCGGCGAAGCAGCGGCAGGCTCTGCTGTGCCGCTCGACTCTCCCAGCTCAAAGTTTTGAACGCTTTCCCTTTCCCATGGCCTTCGGATTCTGACGCAAAGTTTCCCCCCTGTGTGGAAAGTTTCCAGAGTCTCATGGGCCCGGTCCATGTCTGTCAGGTCATAAATTTCTTGGATGATGCACTTAACAGTCCCGTCTTCTAACAGTTCTCCGATTTCTTGCAAGCTCGAAAGCTTCACATCCTTGAACTGAAACAAGCGGAAACCAGAAAATATCCCGCCTCCTATGTTGAGAACACGGCTCTTTGCTGCAATCATCCGCTCGGTAGCGAGACGCTCGAAGGAATACTCCTCCTCGTCCTCCTCGTCCTCGTCCTCCTCCTCGATCTCCTCATCCATGTCTCTGTTCAACTTCTTCACACTGTCTTGCAAACTGTGTCTCAATGCATTTAGAGCAATGTACTTTCCATCGCTTCCCAGCACCTCACGTCCGAACACTTCCCAGTACTCATCCAGCCCGACGCAGTCCAACACCAGGTCGAATTCTCTGTATTTGGCACACGATCCTTTCCAGTCGCCTTTGGAGTACTCGATGACCTCATCAGCTCCTATCTTCTTTGCCAGATCCACATGCTTGCTTGCACAGCAGACTACCACGAATGCCCGATAGTAACGCTTCGCGAACTGCGTTGCAAAGGATCCTACACCCCCACATCCTCCGATTATCACAACTTTCTTTCCCTCCCGCTGGTCGAGACCACCCTGGATCAACGCTGTCCACGCTGTCAGACCTGCCATGGGGACCACAGCTGCTTGCTCGAAAGTCAGACTCTTTGGTTTGGTAGCTGCATCATCTTCATGCACGACACACCATTCAGCATAGGTGCCGTTCCTTCCTGCTATGATCCTCGCAACCTGCTGTATCCCGAACACGCTCTCTCCGATCTTGAATCTTTCTACTTTGCTTCCAACCTTCCTCACGATACCGCTGAAATCTATCCCCAGCACTGCCGGTACCGACAAGACGCCCTCCTTCTCAGCAACGCCCTGTCGCAGCCGGCAGTCAACATGATTCACGCTTGAGGCGTGCACTTCAATCAAGAGCTCATGCTCGTTCAGCTCCTCTGGGAGGTCGACCTCCTTCAGCCGGAGAAACTCCGGGTCACCATGCTGCCGTACAACACTCGCTGCCATCTTGAATGACCTGGGGGCACCATCCCATTTCACCATGAGCGCTTTCGCTGACCTTGGAGCTGTGCATGCCTGCAGCCAGCTTGGCATCTTGTCCGACAGCAGGGGATCAAACCATCCACTTAGCCCGTCCATCTCTTAAGGGGATGAGGGGAAAGGGATTCCTTTGCTGTCAAAGATTCCACCTAAAATGTCTCCTCCTGTGTCCCTTGCGATGTTTGTCACCTTGTTCGTTTCGATTTTCTGTCAGCTACATGCGCATACTCCGATATCCACAGCTTGATCCTGCTCCTTCTGTTGTCCCTCTCGCATTTCTCACACTCGTTGCGACCTTCTCTTCTCTCCTTCCTCTGCTTCCACTCCTGCGATGCTCTATCACTCCGCCATTCTTCTAGCCAGCAAAGCTACATCCAATCACCCCACCCCTTCCCAAACCATCAAACTACCCCTTTCTTTCATATCTCCCCACATGTCTACTTGGCACCAAAATTCGAAGTACTACCCCCCTATTCTAGAGGAACACTGAATGATAGGTACCCGTACCCGGTGCACCCCACCCCACTTGCATGTTCTGTACAATCCCCGACGGATATAGCGGCAATGCCGTGGACAATGACGGGGGTTCTGCCGGCATGCGGGCTACTCATATGTCATCCGGATCACTGCATGAACCCAAGGAACAAGGGAAAGAAGGTGCGTGTGCGATCCCTCCTTTCTCGTCTTCGTCGCGGGTCGAGGATATAATTTTTTCTGTATGATGCCTCCCACGATGGCGCTGAACTTCATGTTGGATTGCAGGAAAAAGAGGCAAAGGAACAGTCGATGGAGGAGAGGAACGATGAAAAAGTTTGATACCGAAAGCAATGTTATTCTCACATAGCTTTTTTTCATTTGACTGCATGCTTTCTTATTCTTTCTTCAATCAAATTCATTAGCTTTTTACGTCGCTGCCATTCAATCGAATAAATCATGAGCTGAGCTGCGCTGCAAAGTTATCCATCTTATATTCTTTTCTATTTTTCAAAACTGTGCTTGGTACATGTTCAGTGTAGCAGTGATGCAAGGGTTAGTTTTATCACAACACTTTGTTGGACTGCTGTGTTTACTTTCGTCTAGCAGTACGAATGTAACTCTTCATGTCATCTTCACGCTTTGCAGTTTTCAAAGAACCTTCCAACGCCATCGACAGCAGGTTCACTGCTTTTTCTTGCGCCTGCATCAAGAAAGACATCTCACTGAGAGAACATGCTACCTCCCGGCCATCACCGAAAGACTTCTCGACACATCGTCCAAACTTGCCTCAACCTGTCGCAAGTTTTCTGTGGGCTCGTCTTCGGCAGGAAGGAACTCTCCGCGTGAACTTCTGAATCGACTTGATTCGATGGGATCATCGAAGTCAGAGCTTTGATCTCGCATGGAGTTGACGCTTTTGTGTAATTCTTCAATGGTTGCATTCATCTGAAATCGCAACCTGTTCAACGTGTCATCTCCAACTCATCCCCTCCCCTCTAGTTATTTGGTCGCACTTGCTGATATCTTCTTCATCCAGCTCCTGATGACTTCGATCCCGTCTGGATGCAGCAAGTTCCTGGAAAGACGCTATCCTTTGAGGTCGATGTCGCACGTAAAAAGCACACTTTACCGACATCTCCCCAAGGTCGACAAAATTTCGCATAGCTTCGCTCTCTGGATCATGTGTTGCTCGTCATCTTGCGAACAAGCACATTCATCTTTCACCTATATCCACAGCAACAGGAAAATATTTGTTCCTTTGGTAGTTTAGAAGGGACGGGTTACTCGATTCGACACAAAGGCTGCAAGAAAAATTCACATCATTTTCGAATTTCGGATCGCACCACCCAACCACAACTCAAAGAGTTTCCAACATGAGTTCATACCTCGGAGATTTCTTCGGCTCGGACACATGTATGCTCTTGGTGTGAGCTGAGTCGTTGATCCTCGAAATCGAGCGAAGTTCGGAGCCATATGAATCATCTTGTGACAAATGCTTGTACTTCAAGTTCTCATTCTGCAGCTTTTCGATTTCCTTGAATGTGAGTTCCAACATGTGGATGATACTACTCTCGCATGTCTTCTTGGACTCACAATTCCAGCCAAGCCTCGCAAACCAGTGGAGCAGCATCGCATGAATCCGAATGGCAATAGCAGATTCTGAAGGGGATAACCATTTTTCTCGAGACTCGTAGCTTTGTTCCAACCTGCTGATATGCCAGTGAATACTGGCGTCGCCAGCCAACCCTGAATTTTTCTGTCGATCCAAATCCAGTCCATTTGTTGAGCTGCCCTGCTTCAGGATGGAGGTTTCTGACGCCTGCAAATGTGAATGTGTTTTCATCAGGGTCATCATCGTCTGGTTGTGTTGAGCCTCTGTTATAGCATTCTGAGTCATGATATGAGGAACTTCTTTGTATCGAATCGCAGAATATGCACCCATCAACATCACTCAGTCTATGAATCTGACTGTTTGCACCTGGCCCTGACTCGAATCAAACTCTGCAGTGCAGCTCCCGAAGGTGGCTATCAGTATCCTTGACAGACTATGTAGATAGCTGGAGGAGAGACGCCGGAGATGCCTCTTGCAGTGGATGCTTCCGATCGGCTGGTCTAGTTGACGTGGGGAACTTGAAGGCAAGCTCCCTCTCACTACTCCTACTCCGTCTGTTGTACACGCCTTCTCCCACCAATCGAGTCAAGTTCAAAAAAATTGGAATAGTGCCAGAGTAAAGAGCCGGCCTGGGCAGCCCGGGCCCCGGCCCGGCGCTAACCGTTCCGATAAGTTCAATACGGCACCAGTGATCCGGAGTCCGGCGGACCGTACTCGGAGTCGGTTGAACGGCTCGGCCCGATTCCTAGCCGGAGGCCCGCGCGCGGCGCCTGGGGCTGACCGTCGGACAGGCGGGGCCCGGGCCGGCCCGGGGGGGCGGCCGGGAGAGTCGGACTCTGGGACCGTCAGTTTGGGCACCCGGCCGGGCGTCACATCAGTGATGTGATCCAATCAGACCGTCGCTTCACTGGGACTGAGTCAAGTCCGACTGAACCGCACTGTTCACGATTCAACGGTTTGACGGAACGGCCAGTTCTGACCGTCACGGTGATTCAAGTTACTAGCCTCGACTCGCGAAGGGGAGTCACAACTTGGTTGAAACCGTACGGTCTGCGCCGCCGCCCGCGCCGGCCACCCGGTCGGACGGTGCCAGGGCACTCTAGCATCCTCCGCGCCCACGGCGAAGAGTCCGATGAGTCGAGTGGTCACCGTGGCACCCGGTCACCACGGCGCCACCGTCACAGTGCCACCGTGGCCGGGCGGGCAGGCTGGGTGACAGTGACCAACTCAGCTCAAAACAGATTTCTAGATGACGTAGTCATTTACGAAATTTTAACGGAATGTTTCGAGAACTATACGTATGAGAATTTGAAAGTTAAATAGGTAGTAGTGGTACTTATCGAATGAAAATCCTGACTTCTTTTCTAAGATAACTAAAACATCTTGGTATCAAAAAAATCAGTTGTTCATCAGGTGTTCTGTTGTTTAGTACTGAAGACTGGCTTACTAAAATAGTTTTTGAAACTGTTGTACAAGGACCTTTTAAGAGCTTCAGTAAACAAATTATAACTTAAATTAAAATTTGTACAATACTGAATCTTCGGATACGATAATGCACTACCAGTGGTCTGTAAAAACTATTTTTCCTCTTAATATATATATTAATGGTACACGTATTTGTACTAAGTCACAATTTATAAAATCAAACTTCATGAATCCTTTGAAGTGAGGCCCTTTATTTATTTTTAAGAGAAAATATTTTAAAGATAAAACTGCTTTTTGGGCGTGGGGAGCGCCCAAGCATCTGACCATGGTAGCACGCAGGCGTGGGGAGAGGGAGAGAGGGGGTGTAGGGCGAGCATGGATTCTTGAGAGTATGATCCAATTCACGATCTTATCATTCTCCGTCTCAATCCATCCTGTTGCTTCATTTTCTCCACCATTCTCGACCAAGTACGGAAGCTTTACGCCTGGCACTTCGTCGTTCGTCTGTGGCATGAAACAGCGATCTTCTGGATACTCAGGACGTTTCGAGAGAGAATTGAGTGCATCCAGACTTTACTTGTCCAAGACAAGGTATCTAGCCTGCTGTAATCGAACCCAGGGTTTTGTTTTTGATGGATAATTGGAAGGATGCGAATTGCTGACAGTCCTCTCGAGAGTTCCAAGATCCAGAAGGAAAGGTGGTTTGCTTTGTTATCGTACCGTGATTTTATATGCAGGTTCTTCCGCTATTGTCAGGTGGATACCTCATCATAGGACAAAAGAGCTGGTTTGTCGAAGGTCGGAAGGATCAGGAGGACCTGTAAGTGCTTGTCATGCTGACAAGCGTCAAAATCAATGTTTAATCCTCTTTCCGAAGGTTTGGTGATCAAGCAATTCCTCTGGAATTGGATGTACTCGTATGGTGGCTTCTAGACAGATCTGACTCGCAATAATCCCACAGGAAAGGACGGAGTGGATCCTGTATCGGGACGGGGAAGTCGTAACTACCATCACTGGTATGTCCCAAGAGGCTGTCCCGGCGAAAACGATGCGCTCTCTTCTTATGCTTCTCTTTGCAGAGGACGAGCTTGATGCTGCAGATCCGCTGCAGGGGGGAGGGACCTCCTTGACTGATCCCATTGCTGCAGCACGGTACAGCACGATTGTTGCTTAGTATCCATACTAACAGGTGGTAGGATGGGACCAATGAGTATGATGTTTGATGCGGTGTTCATGCAAAATCTCGATTGCAAATTATCTCTGAACCTTTTTTCTATAGTTCTCAGCTCTGTTTGGTATGATGGACGTAAGCATCGCCAGCTGTCTGCTTTGCCCCTGCATGTTTGCTGACTATTGAGTAACAGCGATCAAAGTCAAGAACGGCGGATCCAGGTACTAGCTGGCAGAATACAGCATGCTTGTCATGGCTTACTTCATTCAGGACTTGGTTATCGTCTTTTTGAAGATGGACTCGGATTTGGAGAGAAGAAAGCGTGCGTGAGCAAATAGCGTCTTGGGTCTTTCTCATCCGTTCCGACAGACCTGAAGTAATCGATGGTGCCAAGCTTGCTGAGGCGATGGAGAATGAAGCAAAGGCTGCAGATAAAGCAACCGAAAAGGTAGCTCAAAGTTTTTCAAGATGTCTTTGCTCAATTGATCTTTGCAGGCTACCCCGATCGAGGTTCGAAATTGGTGAAAAATTGCTTGTGGAATGTGGCTCATTACATTACAGAAGTCAAAAGAAGAAGTTGAACAGGAGAAGAGGGATCAGGCGTGGATTCTCATCAGGTGCTTTCACTTCCATGGTGATATCCATTAGTGATTCCCACTTGCAGGCGTGAAGGCATCTTGCAGCTCAAGGAAGCAGAAATCAAGTTGAGGGCTGGGGTGTTCGACGAGGTTTTTCGTGCGAATCCTCTCGATTTTCAAATGTGATTGTTGTATAAGGCTGAAAGCATAGTCTCTACAGCGATTGCTCGCTTCCAAGAACAGCTTTCTACGGGTACTGTCGCTGCTGGTGAGGCGATGGGCAGTGGAGGGTATGCAGTTCCTCAGGTTTTGGACCATTTACAGAGGATCTCATTGAGCAAGGGAAGTCTCTTCAACTAGAGATCTCACGTTGTGCTAAGGGGCAGGTAGAGCGACGCGGAGATCGATCTTTGTGAGGTGGTGAACTTGCAGCAGGTCGAAGCAAGGGCAGAGGCCATCAGGCTTGCAGATGAAGCGGGTGTGGACTTTCGTTCTTTCCCTATTGGATGATGACTTGATTCAAGGTCAATGGCTGAAGAATGGAGACCTTGATAGTGCGATTATCTATGCAGAGCGAGCCCAGGTTAACTCTAAAGTTCAAGTCAAGGGTAACATTTGTTCGCTCGGCAGGGAGCCTTGCGTGAAGTAGAAACGTACTATGGAAGGATTACGACAGAAGAACTCACCAAAGTGTTGGAGATCAAAGTGCTTTCTGACATCGTTGGTTTCCGTTTCATGATCTGCAATATAACTAGGTTCGAACAGAAGAAAAGTTGCAGATGAGAAAGGTGGAATTTATCTTAATTGTCCTGCTTCCTTTGGATGTGAAGGGGTTATGCAGGAGATGGAGCAGCAGAAGCAGCAAAGCTCCGAAGCTTCAGTAAAGAGACAACAGGTGATACGAGAGATTTCCGCCAAGTTTCCTCATGTCTCTAAACAGGTTGAAGAGAAAAAGAGGCAAGAATTGGTGGACTCCAAGAGAGTGAGCAAAGTCCTCTTTCACGACGCTCCATTCTCACATAAATTTGAAGGAGGAAGCAAGGATGAAGCGATCGGGTTTGATAGTCGGGAAAGATTCGAAATCAGGAAATCAAGCAGATCAAAAGCAAGAACTCTGGAGGCAGGTAACAACAAGTTCAGTTTGCTCATTTGAGAAGGGGACATCAGATTGTGTAAGTAAGGATTGCTTTTCAGGACAAAGATCTTGGAGCAAATCTTGATCGTGCAGCTAGGCTAGCACTAAAGAATGAGAGGCAATTGTCCCTCCTGCTGTCTACTTGTGTAATCTTGTTACGCTGCAGGTTTGCAGAGGCTGTGGATCTGGCAGAAAGAGCAATCTTTTCCTTTGGTAAGCCTGGGGATTCAAAAATCGACCATAGTAATTTTCCTGGAAGGCGAAGCTGGTCGGAAGGGATATCGTAAAGCTGAAACTGAAATGAAAAGCTGTAAGAGCATTCTTGATCGAGCCCTGATCGGGTACACGATTTTCGCTTAAAAGCTGCAAGATTTACGAAGCCATCACAGCTTGAGCAGTTTGGAGGAGAAATCAGTTCCTATGGTGGATGAAAACGAGGTCCTGGAGTCCTTGTTTTCAGTGGAGAGTATTGATCTGTCTGGGTACGGGATGCATACAAAGGTTTGATGGATTTTCCTGACTGCTTTCTGACTGCAGAGGAGAGGAACCCTCAGTCGCAAAGCCTCGGAGTTCTCCGGTACCCAAAGTACCACTTGTGAGTGATCATAGTGTCTTTGGATGATCCATTCACTTCTTGCAGCAGGGTCCAATCCTGTCCCTCGACATGCTCCGTTCATCGCCAGAGAAGCTTGCTCCTGCCAGCTCATCTCTGTACGAGGCGCTGAAGACAGCCAGCAAGGCTCCAGCTGAGCAGAAGGCCCCCGAAGCAGCGAGGGAGGAGAAGAAAGCAGCAGCAGCAACAGCAGGAGGTGCTACGGTCGTCAGGGAGAGCTACGACATGCTGCGTTCATCGCCAGAGAAGCTTGCTCCTGCCAGCTCATCTCTGTACGAGGCGCTGAAGACAGCCAGCAAGGCTCCAGCTGAGCAGAAGGCCCCCGAAGCAGCGAGGGAGGAGAAGAAAGCAGCAGCAGCAACAGCAGGAGGTGCTACGGTCGTCAGGGAGAGCTACGACATGCTGCGTTCATCGCCAGAGAAGCTTGCTCCTGCCAGCTCATCTCTGTACGAGGCGCTGAAGACAGCCAGCAAGGCTCCAGCTGAGCAGAAGGCCCCCGAAGCAGCGAGGGAGGAGAAGAAAGCAGCAGCAGCAACAGCAGGAGGTGCTACGGTCGTCAGGGAGAGCTACGACATGCTGCGTTCATCGCCAGAGAAGCTTGCTCCTGCCAGCTCATCTCTGTACGAGGCGCTGAAGACAGCCAGCAAGGCTCCAGCTGAGCAGAAGGCCCCCGAAGCAGCGAGGGAGGAGAAGAAAGCAGCAGCAGCAACAGGAGGAGGTGCTACGGTCGTCAGGGAGAGCTACGACATGCTGCGTTCATCGCCAGAGAAGCTTGCTCCTGCCAGCTCATCTCTGTTCGAGGCGCTGAAGACAGCCAGCAAGGCTCCAGCTGAGCAGAAAGAAATTTACAAGTCTGACCCAACAACTCCAACAGAAGAAAAGTCGAAGGATTCTTCCCAGGTCAAGGTACTCGTTGCTGTAGACTGGTCCGAGGTTGAACTGTATTCACAGCCAATATCAAAAATTGCTGCAGAGATGGCGCAGATGTCTCTCCTCAAGAAGCAGAGGAATGAAAAATACGCGCAATCGTTCTCGGAAGAGAAGTCAGAGGTAGATTGTCAGCCTATTCGTTTCGGAGCATCATGATCAAGGTTTGACCAGGAGGAAAGCACAAGTTGGGAAGCTTTGAAACCTGTTTCAAAGCCAGAAAGACCCCAGCTTGCCGTGGGTACCTTGGTAGAGGCGAAATGGTGATGCACCTACTGCTGAAAAGCAGGACTTAATGTTTTTTGGCAGGTACGAGGACAACAAATGGTATGAAGCAGAAGTGCTTGAAGTTACAAAAGATGGAAAATACACCATTGTAAGTCACAGGGGTGATATTCTGTGGGTTTTGAGTGGAAGTGGGGAGATCTCGGTGTCTTTGTGATGCAAGGAACTTGGCAGATGTTCACAGAGTATGGAGACGAGCAAGAGACAGATCCGAAAGACTTGAAGTTGAAGGAATTTAAGGTCAGTTGTTTGAATGTCCTTCGTTGTCTCACCTCTTTGAATCTCGTCCAGCCGACGGAGAAGAACATTCCGCGTTCAAGCTCCTCGTTCTCAGCATCCGAATCTTCCTATGCATCCTTGGGACTCAAGAAACCTCTCGATCGGTCGGAGAGCATCATCGAAGCTGCTCGTAGGCAGCAAGAGCTGCAGGTGATTGTATCGGTCAAGGAATAAGCGTTGTTTGCTAATCTCCCATCCAGCCCATCTCGGGCACTACCATGGTGACCCTGAACAAAGGAGGAGTTGCTGTCGGTCAGAGATCTTGTGTTGCCTTTGCGCGAGGCTGAAGGACGAGCAGGAGAAAAGCGATACGAGATGAACGTGAAGTACCATGGAATTCTTCTTGGCAAGAAGGGCCTTACAGTCAAGGTATGAGGAGGATCTACGACGGCCTGAGAGGATGAAAAGAAAGAAGATGGATGGATGGATGGATGGATAGATGGATGGATGGATGTTCGAGGAAGATAGGAGGAAGTTGACAACTTCCTCACATTCACTTGCTACAGGCGATCGAGCAAGCATCCGGGGCAAAGATCAGCTTTGAGAAGGATCCAGTTGGTGAGATCCAGGCGAGAAGGGGCCAGTGGAGAGGCAGCTGACCAAGAGGCCAGGTGCCATTGTGATCCGTGGGACAGAGAAGCAGCGCGAGGAGGCATGGAAGCTGGTGAAGGGGGTGCAAGCCACGCTTCCTCAGCTCCTGACGCAGATCCGTGAGAATGACATCAGGAAAGAGCAGGACACGACTTGGTCGCCGCATGACATGATGTTGCAGGCCAGGAGAGCTCAAGTCCCGCCCCAACCTAACGGGCCGCTTGCAGGACAAAGATCAGGTATCAAACGCTTTGATGGACCACTACTCTAACTTCCTCTTCCAGGTCTGGCCTGTCGCAATTAACGAGGCCATTGCACGAGCTAGAGGGCAGGATGCCTCATAACAGCCCGAGGCAGCAGGAGAGGAGGGGCTGCAGCGATGGGAATGGAGAGGCCTCCAATAGAGGAGCTGGTGATGTAAATAAAGGCAGCTCACGTCGGTCTTGTACTAGGAGAGAACTTCCTGCTGGGGGAACTGCAGGCGGTCAGGTGGGCAAGCGGGGGAGGAGCGCAGGTTACACCTGGTTCAATCTGTGCTCGAGCAAGCGGACGTACTTCGGGCTCATGTGGGTGCCGTCCCTGATTGCGGGAGTGAGCATCATCGTAGAGAGGGAGGCAGAGGGAGGAGAATAGAAAGCGAGAGGAGAGAAGCAGGAGGAGGGGAGGGAATGGAAGGGGAGGAGCAGGACGGGTGTAGGAGTGAGTGGAAGGGGAAGTGCTGGAGGAGGAGAGACGAGGGAAGGGGAGGAGAATCCGGACTCACATCTCGAACTCGGGGCTCAAGAATTTGCCGTCGGGGGTGAGCAGGTCGTCAAGGATATCGAGGAAGCGGAAGGAGGGAAGGGCAGTGACCTCCTCCTTCAGCTTCTTGTTGAAGAGCTTGACAACCTCGCGCGTCTCGTTGAGGACAGGAGCGACGGGCTGGACAAACACCTTCCACTTGCGCTGGCTCTGCAGTTGGAGGAGAGCTGAGGTGTAGACGCCGATGGTGTAGGCGATGCCCTCGTCGAGGTCAGCGTAGACTCCCTTCTCCACAGCCCGGAGGATCCCCTCCCTGCAGTCGATCTCGCCGAAGAGGAAGATGACGCTAGCTCCGTCAGGGATCGAGGCCATCACGTTGTAGAAGTTGTTCTTGGGGAAGAAGACAGATTCTTCGCGCAGGTGCCAGCACTTCAAGCCCGTCACCAGCTTCGGGACGAGCGGCACGGAGGAGCCATGGACGCTGAGGACCTGCCAGGCGGTGGAGAGGCAGTGGGAGTCTCCTGCCACGAAGATCTCGCCCTTGCAGGAGGGATAAGGCCAGGGGATGTCCACCATCAGCTGAGCAACACAGCAGTAGTACGCGTGCTCGTTGCGGATGTTGGTCAGGTGCATGTCCCACCCCCTCCTCGCTGGTTCGATCAGCTCGACAAGGTCGGGGATCCTCGCCAGAGCGCCTGTGACGTAGAGGATCTTGACGATGGTGAAGTGAAGAGCGAGGAGGTCCAACTCGTCAGAACTGTAGGGAGGAAGCTTCTGCTTGCTCGCCTCCGGCGCAGGAGCTGCTGGGCTGGGAAGGGCGGTCGAAGCTCCCTCTCCCTTCTCCACCAGCGACTTTTCCTCTCCCTTTCTGCAGATGACCGAGCCGTGGTTGGGGATCCAGACGACCGTCTTGAAGATGCCGGGATGCGGGTCCTTGCTGAGCGGCAGCTTGTAGGCAGGGGAGAAGAGATCGTCAATGTCTTTGAGCATGTCGGCGACGTCCCCGTTGGTGTAGTGATCCCCGATGGCCATCGCCTGCTGTTCCTGGCAGAAGGAGACTGAGATCATGAGCGCCTCCTGGTACCGATTGCAGACTTCCAGCGTGTGCACAAGGTTGAGGATGTACGCGGTCATGGCAGGTGAGCTCTCCAGCGCGCTGTAGTACAGCTGTACCGCCTCCTCCACGGCTCCATAATCCTTGATGAGGGTCGCGATGAACGCCAGAGCTGGGCCCGAGCTCGCCGCCTCTCCCAGCTCGGTCTTCAAGATGCTCATCCCCCCCGGCGCCTTGATGATCTCCGACATCAGCCTCCGCGTCTCCTTGTCGTTAGGCATGTGCACTAGAACCCTCAACAGGATCCTGAGGGCCTCGCCGCTCCTCCTCCGGTCGATGTATGCCTTGGCGTACTCCAGCAGCGCCAGGTCGTTGTCCTCGTGCTTCTGCAAGATCTCTGTGTACACTTGGATCGCAGCCTCTTGCTCGCCGCTGGCGTAGAGGGACTTACCCATGAGCACTTTGATTTCCTGGGCCTCCTTGTCCTGCTCGTTCTTGACCATCTCAAGGGCTCGGGTGAAGAAGGTCAACGCCTCCATGTACTCGCCCTTGCAGTGACATGCCAAGCCGAGTGACCGCATGTAGGACAGCTTCGGTCCTCCGATCGCCACGGCTTTACTGAAATACTCGATCGCTTCGTCGTATCGCTTGCATGAAAGCTCTGCGCTCCCCAACCCCTCCAGGCACTCCAGCTTGGGACATACCGACAGGATGCTCTTCCAGGCTATGCATGCCTGTCGCAAGCTCCCCTTCGCCTTCAGCTGCTCCGCCACATTGAGCGAGTTGCGAAGCCATTCCTCTGCCTGGGGTTCTAACTTGGGTTCCGCCAGCACAGGTCGAGTCCATCGCTTCTTTGGTGGTTCAGCTTTCTGCGATTCAACCTTGGGAAGAGGAGGGGGAGAGGAAGCAGCAGCAGTTGGGGAGGATGAAGACGCAGCAGGAGAAGAGGACGAGTGGGCAGAAGGGGGAGGAGTCGAGGACACGTTGCCGCTCCGATCCTTCGCCTTGACCTCCTGGGCCTTGACACGAGGCTGCGACTTTGCCTTTGCCCCCTCCGCCTTCCGAGGGACCAGGAAGATGTCCAGGTTCCGTTTGGCCAGGGCAAACAGACGCTCCGAGGACGGGAGCAGCTTCTGGTTTGAGGTCGCAAGGGAGAACCCGGCGGGGTCGAGCGACCGCCCGAACCTTCCGTTGTACTCCTTGAGCAGGACGCACTTGAACTCATCCACTGTCCTCTCGTCAGAGGCCTCGAGGGAGAGCGGGAGGGTGAACTCGGGCTCCTCCCCCTCCACGTGAAGGTAGACTCTCACCATCGTCCACTCCCTCCTCCCGCCATGCCTTCCATGTAAATCCTGCCCCTCATCCCCCCTCATTCCCCTGCGATCCTGCAAAAACTTTGCAAAAACACCACCACAGGCAAACTCGCCCAGCGAACCTTGCTGGCATGCGGCCAGGCAGAGTCCCCCTCCTCCTCCTCCTCCTCCTCCTCCTCCTCCTTGACCCATGTTCTTCACTACTCTCCCAGGCTGAATCTCTTCCTCCTTCTCCTCCTTCTCCTCCTCCTCCTCCCGGTTCTTTCGACGTTCTCTTCATTGGCACCGGCGTCTCTACAGGGATACCCAAGATTGGCTGCATCGTCCGCCCTGACCCATCGATGCCCAAGTGCCATGTCTGCCATGACGCCATGCGGGAGTCTTCGAAGAACCGCAGGGGGAATGTCTCCATCCTACTGCGCTTTTGGCACAAGGACGGGCGACCCCGGCACATCATGGTGGACGCGGGGAAGACGATGCGGGAGAATTGCATGCGGTTCTTACCTCAGCACGGCGTTCGCTCCTTGGACTCCCTGCTCCTTACGCACAGTCATGCCGATGCCATCCATGGACTGGATGACATCCGCGACTTCCAAGAGCAGAGCGGGGTCATTCTCAAACACTTCCCCCCTCTCCCCGTCTATCTCAACGAGGCAACTTTCGACGAGGTCAAGCGGAGGTTCAGGTGAGAGGTCTCGTTCTGTGACCCATCTAGATCGCTCATGCCGACTTGAAGCTATCTGGTGCCTGGTACGGGGAGCGCTCTCGAGGTAGAGAGCAAGAACCGTTCCGACTCAGGGTCCAGGTTCGTCTCAAGGATCAGGTGGAACATCATCTCAGACGAAGAGTTCGAGGTGGAAGGATGTGAAGGTCCTGACCTCTCATGGCTGGAGCAAACAGTCACCATGACTCTTCTCCTCAGGCCTGAAGGTCCGCCCGCTCCCTGTCCTACATGGAGGCAGCTTGATCAGCCTGGGGTTTGAGTTCAAGTCGGACAAGTATGGCAGCAAGGGGAGGAGGCGGAGCACTCTTGACAGCAACGACCAGGCAAAGATTCGTTTACATCTCGGACGTCAGCCACATCCCCTCCAAAGTTCTCCGCTCTCTCAAGAACTCTCCGCACCCGCAGGCGAGCCATCCTGCCTGTTCGCAGAGATCCGGCCTGATTTGAGCGGGCAGGTCCTGGTGCTCGACGCTCTTGACGAGAAGAAGCATTTCTCGCACTTCAACCTGCAGGAGGCGGTGGATGCAGCAGCTGAGATCTCTCCTCGCAAGCTCCTCCTGGTGTTTTTTATGCGGCAAGGCGGAAAACGCTAACTGAAGGATCAGGTCGGCATGACTTGCTCCATGGGCGACCACGAGGAGACGAATCGCAAGCTCATCGCCCTCCGTCCGGCAAGAAGGTACAGCACGCGTGCCGTTATCTTCTCTCATCCTCCGTAAGGTGCTCCTGCGACCAGTGTGCGGGCCTCCCGCTCTCGGTTGAGCTGGCGCATGACGGCCAGTTCCTGGACTCGAGGGAGTGGGGGCGATAACGAGCTGCCTTCCCTCTCACGGTCAACGGTCGGCGCGGAGGTCTAGGTTTCATTCATCATCGCTGCTGGAGGAAGACTCCATCCCCAAGTTCATCCTGTAAGCGGCCGCCAGCAGCGCACTCCTCCTCTGCTTCCTCTCCGCGGACTGCGGGAGGATCGAGTTGTTGGAGCCTGCACTGCTGCTGTGCAGCACGGTCTGACTCCTCTTGGGGCTCCTGGGCAACGGTGATCTCAGCGCAGAACGGGAATTCAAGGCAAGCACCTGGTCCTCTCTGGACCTCCCTCGACGGTCGATACCGATGGGTTCCAGTCCCTGCTGGAGGATGAGCGAGAGGCCTGCTGACGGTCAGTCCGTGCTGCCTCCCCACCAGGACTCACGTCAGGTGCCGAAGACTTGAGTCTCCTCCTGCTCTCAGCTATCTTCGAGACGAACTGAGGAGGCTGCCACTACTGGGTCAGCTAGACTCCAGCTGCGAGCCAGGAGGGGCACCTGAATGATGCGAGGCTGGAAAGAGCACTCGGTCATCCTCTCCCGCTCAATCTCCTCCTTCATAGTCTCCAGGTGTTTCTATGGCAGGTCCGCGTCAGAGACGAGGCTCTGGAGGGGAAGGGAGCATGGGCGAGGAACCTGCATCGTCTTTTGGCGGCTCCGCATGCGCTCCACATAGCTATCGGGCTCTTGATTGACCTTCAGGCAGCTCTGCACATGTGCATCACTCAAGAGATGGAGAAGGAGAAGGAGAAGGAGAAGGAGAAGGAGGACCTCGGCTGGCCTCTGGTTGATGGAGGGCTTGAAGGGATAGACCTCTTTCTCCAGCTGCTCCAGACCCAGGTTCTCCCGGATCTCCATCTTCCTGCGAAGGTCACCCTCTGAGAGCTCCTGCTGGGGGATCAGTTGGTCCTCTGTCAGGGGAGTCTCGGACCTGCAACGAACGAGGTGACTTGACCATGCTCCGTGCGTTGATCTTGGGTTTAAACGTGTGCTCCTTCTTCACTTTCATGAAGAGATCTTTCATCCTCTCCTGCCTCTCGAGCCGCCAGTTCTCCACTCGCTCGAGGAACGAGTTCTCCTTCCTGATACCCTCAGCCAAGTCGACCCTCTTCTCCTCCCTCGCCGTGAAGTCGGCCTCACCCTTCTTCGACCTGATGCCAACTTTGCTCTCGCGCAAACTCTTAGAACCAGAAAGCAATTGTTCCACCCATGAGTATGAGCCCCGTATCGCGACTTTGCCCTGCTTCTTCTTCTCTGTAGCAGGGTTCTTCGAGGTTTCCTTGTTGTGCTGTGCTGAGGATCGCACAGGCCCAGACTTTCGTTGAGGAGATTCAGCGAAACCGTTGAGGTTCCATTCCATCAGTTTCGTGAACTCCTCTTGCCGTTTTAGGAAGGCGTCGTCATCGTCTGTCCTCAGTTTCTTCTCCTTCTCTGCCCGCGCCCGAGGCTCAGAGATGGAGTTGAGATATTCCAGCATCGAGTCAAAACTCATCCGCGACCTCTCTTGCTGAGAATCTATCAGCCTTTCCTTGTAGCTCTCCTGCTTGTCCCCCGCGTTCGTCTGCTCCTTGTGACTGGAGTTCGGCCGTAAGTGGGGAGACTTCTTGGTAGGATTGTTCCGCTCTAACAATCACGGGTCAAGAACAACGATGGTGGAGCTTGATCTGCCAAAAAAAAACCTGAAGTGAATGTTGAACGAGGAGGAGCTGAACTTGGTCTCGCAAAGCTCTTTAGGCTCGTGCCACTATTCTGCACCACATCCAACGTCAGGAGAGCAAGCATGCAGTCTTTTAGAATGCCATCACTTGCTCTGAAACCTTCTCTGACCCGCTAAAACGAGTTGAATCCACCCTTGACAGTCGGACCCAGGCTGGTCACAACATAAATCATGGTGAAGCAAAGAAAAGGCAGCAGAGAGCAAGCGAGCAACCTGGCTCTGCTATGTATTGCTTTGCTAGCAGCATCTCATCGGTCACCCCTGTGACCCTGCGAATTGCTGTCTCGTAACACAGCCAAAGTGGCAAGAATTGCAACACCTTGGATGGAATGTACATTCTCTTAGATCCTCAAGCTCGCGCCTGCGAGCAGAATCAACAACTGAAAACAACAACAGGACTACTCACTCGCTGACATACTTCACAGGAGGAGCGACATGCAAAGGAGCCATGTAGTGCGGTCTGTAATGATGACCTTTGCTCATAGTTTGCATGTCTGGATTGGTGCCATTCGGCTGAAATGTACATATCTTTTCGAATTCCTCCTGAAAAAGTAAAAATTTCCGATAAATATGAGAAAACAGTGTCTGATAAAGTTTGATCTCAGGTACATCTAGTTTCTGTCGAAGCTCATTCTGCTTTTTCTTTTGCCTCCGAATACCCTGTCGATACAGACGTGAAACTATCTGCGAAACGACGAGAGGCAACAATCAATGGGAGAAGCCTTTCATCCATGATAGACAACACCTGATCTTCATCTACCATGATCTCACGATTTGAGTTTTTGTTTGGTTGAAAGGTGCAATCGCGCTGTAGATTCTCTTGCTTCTCCTTCAAAGGGCCGTTAAGAAAACGACGGGGTTGACGGGGAACTTGAAACCTTTCTCAGTCTGTTGACACGTTCGTCCTTCAGACGTTTCCATGCAACCTGTTAGGCCATCAGCAGCAGACAATCATCCAATCTCAATCATCGACCTGCCGATCATACATGTCCCCTTTCGAGAAGCTAACACCATTCAAAGCTGCGCTTCGAGTTTTAGGTTTAAATGGACATTGCCTTTGCCACTCATCGTGCAAGTGCTGGAGACGAGATTGAGTTCTCGTGTCCAGGTCTCGTTGATCAGTCGCAAAGTTGAATCCTTTCACATTGACCGATCCCTTCCGTCCCCCCTGTTGTTCGTACGCAAGACCATTCTTCTTGATCGAGATCTCCAGCTTCCTTGCAGTTTCATCGTGCATCCGCAGGATCTCTCGTTGCCGTTGCTCCAACTGCTGAATGAAGACATTAGAAGAGCCCAGAGGCTCTCAGATCAGAACTCCGTGCTCACCTTCCAAGCTCCGTCTGAAATTTCGCCCTCCTGGTCTTCAAACGAGTTGCTGCCCTCACTGTACTTCCGCAGCTGTGTCTTCATGGTAGCTACCAAGTTCTCCTCGCCCCTTTCTCCTTGCTGGACCTTCACGCAGGTCTACCCGCCTCTCCTCGCGCTTCTCTCCTCCTCTCCTCGCCTGCCATTGTTGTCGTTACAATTGCGCGCTTGACGTTTTTCTTCGGTGAAAAACAGTTACCCTCATCCCCTCACAGGACCATAGTTACCCTCTCCGAAAAATGGCAGGAAAAATGGCGGGAGGGTGGGAGGAGCTGGTAGTAGCGCTCATGCTCGGGCAAGACGCGCCAAGAGTCTGTGATGAGGAAACCAACATCGATCCCATGCGACCTCGCGGACTCGTCCTCGCAGGTGCCGACGAGGAGTGCAAGGTGCGCATTGCCTTGTTTGTTGTTTGTTAGGGGGTGACCCACAAACTAGATGGCATTGCTGATGCAGTATGCCTACAACGCTGCTCTCAGAGGATTCAACTCAATCTTCTTCACCAAGTACCAAAAGAATGCGAATAGTCATCAGAGACCATGACGCCATGTTTTTTCAGGCGGAAGCGTAATTACATGTACGCTAATATAAAGCAGCGCAAACTTTGCAAGAAAGCTCTGAAGGTGAGAAGAATGCTCACGAGTGAAGATACTTGGACTTTACCAGGTTGATTAGAGAATTGGAATCAAGTTCGTGAACAGCGGGTATGATCTGCGGTAGGTCTCTTGGCCTTGGAGCATCCCAACCTTGAAAACCGCATCTGGAACACCCAGGTCAGCGCTGGCGGGCATACACGACCTTGAGGAGATGCCGAATCTTCTGATTGTAGCCGACGATCTTTCTGTGAGATCTTGCTTGCTGCAATGTCCACTGAGCGATCCTCATGGTCTCAGAGCATCCTAGCAGACAAGTGCTTCGAGCACCTGGCCATGACTCTAGCCCACCTCGAGGAAGTGCGTCGGGGAGGAGTGGGGGAAGTTGGAAATGCTGATCGAGACACAGGCACAAGGATTCTTTGACAGATCGTTACGCGAGAATGCCTTCAAGCTGGAGATGGGGGTCGAGGGCTCGGGAGGTCAGGGCGAGGGAAGAGACAGGACTCCTTTCGTGGGCTGCGAGCTGATTGTGAGCCGTGGAACGCCCCAGGCAGGGATCGCTGACCTCGTCTCCAATGCGCCAGATCTCAGAGGGAATATCAGAGACCGGCAGGCCGAACAACCTGTATGTGTATGACCGCTTCTTCCCAAACTACATCACGATCGTTGGTATTGCCAATACCGCATGGATCTCACGACGCTGACCATTCTTCTGTCGAAGAGCACGATGGAGTCAAAGAAATGTCTCAACCATCAGTAGCTCCCAGATGTCACAGGTGTGGCTGCCCTTGGCTTGCCCGGTAAATGTTCATATTGCTCGCAACCAGGCTGATTTGTAGTACAGATTCTCAGCCAGGGACGGAGTGACATCGAACCCCAAGTTCTGTTGCTCCAATGGAGCATCTGTGCTGGAAGACAATGCCTCACAATCTCTCCTCGAACTGCGTTAAACTTTAGCCTCCCTCAGCATCTTTGTATTTGTTTGTAGCCGATTTTCATGTAGATGTATCTGTAGTTTTGAAAATTGAAACCAGTTGGAAATGTTTCTAGAGAATGTGCTTATAACAGTTTCAAATTAGAAATGTCCAGTCTAGAGACTCTTTGCAACCACGATCAGGACTGGGCAATATCTAGACTGGTCTTTTTCTTAGGACAACAAAGTTTTGTTTACATAAATTACAACAAAAAAACACTTCTGACACAAAGTAAGGTAAGGGGTCGGTGAACGATGAAAAGCAGCTCCTTTCAGCACAATTGTTCTGTCTGAGTCATCCTCAATTGTCCTGACTACTCCAAGTATCTGGCAGGCCCATCAGACCCTGGTATCGTGCAGATTGCCGCGGATATACCTGACGACGGTGCGCAAAGGGGTATATTTCTCTGGCTTTCAATCTGATCATGAAGAAGCAGTTCAGAGCAGAACAACAACACTCATAGAGAGAAGATTGGAAGTCTGAGAGACTCTGGAGGAGACCCCACACAGAGTAAATCTTCTTTACCTCCTCTCCCAGGATAATACAGCAAGGGGTCTTCCTTCCTCCGAGGTAAAATTCCGTTACTTCAATGTTCCTTTGCGAGCACAGCGTTAGCTGCGCACATGGCTGGACAGAACTTCAATGATGGGCAACAGCTTGCATACCTCACGGAGCATGCCGTTGCGATCGATGGCGCGATTACCGACGCGGAGTCGCCCTGCCGTCGCCCTTCTGTTCCATGTTTCTCCGGGGACATGTGAGTTTTGGCCGGGTCGTACAGGCCGACACCAGGAAGGTTGTTGATACCCCTGTAGACTTTCTGCACTTTCATTCGAGTGGATCTATCCTGCTCCTCTGCTCGTCTCGCCCCCTTCCTCGCCGAACTCCCTGCCCCCATGGCGCCCTTTTCCCCTGCCAGAGGTCAGGAATGCTGACAGTCGATAGGTAGAGGGGTAAATGCAATCTGCTGCCCCCAAGAAGCCATCCCACGGAAAGTGTTCAAATCGATTGAGTTAAAATTTCAATTTATGAGACAAAACTTCATAATACTGAAATGCTTCAAGACAGCATCTTGGAATTTAGGGCACATTTTTGAATTCTGACAAGGAAATTTGAGGGAGAAATTCAGAGAGATGCGATTTATTAGACGGAGTTGGGGCAATGCAGGACGGGGTAGGTGAGGGCATGGAACAGGATCACAGAGCAGCGCGACTGGCAAGGGACAGGGAGAAGAGGAGAATGCAGAAGATGGAGAAAGAAATGAGAACCTCATGGCTCTACAGGAATAAGCTGCATGCTGCAGCGATGAAGGTGCCTGCCGGATTCCTGCGACGAGACCCGGCTGAGCAACGTTTGCAGGGAGACGACAATCTTGCAAGGACGATGCTAGCGAAGGTAAAGTCTAGAGATGATGATATTGCAGGTTGTGATGAGGACATGCAGGACTCGTCGGCTGGGATGAACCTCAACAAGGTTTTTGTGGACCAGACGTGGGTCGAAGATGGACAGTCCCCGCTCTTCTTTGCCGCCATCAAGGGACAGGTCATGCTCGATTCTAGATGAGGAGATCAACTTGCCATTGTGTCTGAACATTGATGGAGGCATGCAAGCTTGCAACGTCATTGATGCGTTTGTTTCAGTTGAAAATGGTACAAACGCTCATCGACGCTGGTGCTAACGTGGACTTGAAGAACTACGATGGTCGAACACCGCTCTCTCTGGCAGCAGGTGTAGAGAGGAAGGATCCTCTCATGAGACTATAACTACTTTCGCAGAATACGGAAAACATGAGACTTGCACGCTGTTGATCGACAACCAAGCTGATGTCAACTCGAAGGACACTCGAGGCAGGACCCCGCTGCATATTGCTGTGCAGGTCTTACGCCCGTCCTTCCATGCATGCTAGCTCACTTGTTCTGTTTCTGCAGAAGAATCATGCGCGCACAGTTCGTGTCCTGCTCGAGAGGAATGCGGACCCATGCGCGTGTACACGAACACAGAGCTGGACACCGTTGCACTTAGCAGCGACCACGACTGGCTGGTAACGTGTTCTCCTGACGTCCTTGTTGGATGACATGAGATGCAGTGATATCAAAATCGTCTGTATGCTGCTCGGAGGACCCTCGTACCCGTTGGACAACGAGGAAATGGAAGCTAAGGAGGATCGCGGCATGACAATGGCCCGCCTGCTGGAGGATGAGACGGCGTGGTCGAACCAGGTGGAGCAGCTGATTTCGAACAGCACGAGGAACGGGAACGCTCGAACTCGACTGCAGCACGTCTATCCCTCTGACTGGCTGTACGATGACGTGGGTCAGTTGTACCGATTGTGCATGCAGAGGTTTCCAGCGCTGCCGCTGCCGCCATACCTGAGCGATCTCTCCATCAAGAGCGCCATGGGCTGCACGCCTTTGGACGAGGTCTCTCGCGCAGGTGAAGTAAGGAGAGTTTTGGAGGCAGCCTGTCTGCTCGAGAACGAGCGAAGGGAAAGAGCGCTGGAAGAGGAGGAGAGGAAGACTGGGATCTTGCGTTCGACGATCAAAGGCGAGAGGCAGATGGTGCGTCGGCGAGTTCGAAAATTTGCGCTGGTGATAGGGAATGCGATCGGGCCCGGAAAGTCCTCGACGGATGTTTGCAGACGGGATGCGGAGTCTGTAGCACGTCGTTTGCGGGATCTCGGTTTTCAAACAACATTGCTCACAGATGCAAGGAAGTCAGAGATGAAAGAAAAGATCAAGCAATGTGGGCAAAGCCTGCAAGATAGCGATCTTGTTGTATTCTACTTTTCCGGTCATGCCAGACACGTGAACGGTAAGAACTATCTTATCCCAGCAGAGGGCAAGGCGGACCACCTCGCCATGTCTTACAAGTTTCCTTCGAACGCTGTGTGCCTCCGAGACGATGTCATCCTCCCGCTGCAGTCTGCCAAAGGAACTCTCAGCTTCATCCTCCTCGATGTCTTCAGAGCTTCGCCAGCTATCAAGGCGCCTTCAGGTTGCGGCAAATGGAAGGATGGATTCAACGATTGGGACAATCGTTTCCCTGCTGCCTTCCTTCCCCATCTCAGGCCTCCGGGAACTCCTGCCTCCTACGTCAAGAAGTCTCCCGTCATGGCTCAGAACAGGCTTCAAGTGATGGAAGGGAGCATGGACGGGGTGCAGGAGAGCTGGTTCCCACTGCTTGCTGGAGGGGCCATCGAGCAGGAGCTCGCCCTGGAGGAGGTGCTTCAAGAAGACTCCAGTCTCTGCATGCTCTACAGCCACGAGCCTTCAGGAACCCTCTTCCCTGAATCGCCGACCATGATCTCTCTCTTCACCAAGGTCCTTGTTTCGATGCTCGGAGCTGAGGGGCCGTATGTAGACATGTTGACAAACGTCAAGAGCGAAGTCCTGAAGCTCTCTGTGAGTCGCCTGCTTGCCCATCGGTTGTTTCCCCGCCTGATTCTTTTGTTTATCCTTCAGAACGGACGGCAACAACCGTGGAGCTGCATTGTCCCGAAGCATGCCGACAAGACGTTCTCGTTTGCCTCAGCAGAGAAAGAGCAGAAGCTCCTGTAGAGTTTGGGATCCAGACAGCTGATGCAATCACATCGAGAGTCTTAAGATTGCTCCCAGAATTCTTCTACCGTTTGACCTGTTCGAAGGAACCTTTCTCCTGTCACGAAGCGATACTTTCTGTCCAGCTTGTTCAACTCCAGCCAGTTGTCCCTACAAGAAGGTTCAGAAAAGGTCTAGATGTACATGTGGAAGTCTATCCAACCTGGACAGTGCTTTCTTCCCAGACAGCATGTCCTGAAACACCTCCAGATTCTCTTGCAGTCTTCTCTTGGTCACAGATTTTGGAATGACCTTCGTGAGAAAGTCATGGGTGGTAAGCGCTCAGCAGGCCCTTGACGTACAATGGTGCCGCGGTGCCAACCCCACAGCAAGAGGACCTTGAAGGCGAATTCTTCAATGCGCCTCACAAAAGCCTTAGGCATCTCACCTGTGCTGGAGTGCAGTTGAGGCTTCCGGCGATCCTGAACGACGTTCAAAGGAAGGAGGAAGAAAACTTTAGCCCCGAGGAGCAGGAGTCAAAGTTACACCTGATCACCGATGGTTCGCTCAGGAGGTGAGGTTCTCCTGAAGCCTTGACATCTCTGTTGGAGTGATCGATGACTGCGCTGCCATTGCAGGTGTAGGAATACCTTCCGGGGCTCCCCAAGGGAGAATATGCAGTCACAGCGATCTTTTGCTCCTTGCAAAACTTGAGCAGGGGCCATTGCTCGAGGTACGGATGCCCTTCAACCTGGTGCATGGGATGCCTCTGAGGTCGACTGGGAGAGGGTGCTGGTGTATCACCTGGTTGACAGCGGGCTTGATGGTGGACCTTGACAACAAGCTCTTGAGCCCCCCGATGCCGAAGTTCGAGACTCCGATGGATCTTCACGAAAGTCCATGACGTCAGCACACCCGAGTGCTGTTCGAACGAAGGCACCTGACTGATCCAGCACGAACAAGCTTCTCCATGGCCTTCCTGCGCGCAGCACATTCACTGGCCGACGACCTTGCCGTGGATTTCTGTTGCGAAGTGAGATTTACCATGTCTTTGAAATGGGGATCTTTGCGTAGTCAGACTCGGGGATTTTCGCCCCGCGGGCTGAGGTAGCGTTCCTGTGCTGGAGTCACGACGGAGCGAAAGGCTGCAGCTTTCACCTCTTGAAGGCGAGAGGCCAGTGGATCAAGTAAAGATCGAGGTACTCGAGGCCGAGCTTGTTCAAACTGTCATTGAGAGCCTGGAGTAGACACGTTCCTTTCAACAGTTCCACTACCTCAACCCGGCACCCGAACCTTGGGGACGTCTTCAGGGTCGTGAAACGTGTTCCACAACTTGCTGGTGACAAAGAGATCCTCTCGGCGCACGATTCCTTCCTTGATGCAATCAGCGATGCCTTTGCCGACCTCGTCCTCGTTGCCGTAAATCCATGCGGCGTCCAGGTGCCTGAGTGTATGGAAGGTTGAGGATGGGAAGGAGAGTAGCAGAGGAGAGCAGTAGCCGTCTTGCCTGTAGCCCATCTTAATGGCCTCCCGCACCGCATCCCTGACTTCTCCTCTCTTGCTCAACCATGTCCCCAGACCCAGCGAAGGCATCTTTCGTCCTGCGGTGTATGAGGGGATCCTGCAAAGTGCCATGGCAGGAAGACTTGCCGTCGGAGAGAGTCTTGGATCCTCCAGGTCGAGGCATGTAGAGCTCAGTGATATCCTGCTCGGGTTTTGAAGTTCTCGCCTTGCCGAACGCCAGCATGGCCACGGCCAACACAACCACCAAGGCGACCAGACCTGCGCTCGTTTGAGCTCAAGCAGTTGGCAGCAACGTGTGAGGGAGGAGATGGACAGGAGAATAGCGCTATGAGGATGAAACGAGAGTGACCAGGAGAGTCAACGACGTCCTCTCACCCTCCTTCTCCATTCTCCTCCATGCCGGCGCCGCTCGCTTCGAAGCCATGAAGCGAAGTTTTTGTCCGGGCCCGCCTGCCATGATTCTACAGGGCAGCTGCCCCTGAACCTGAAGGAGGGATGTCCAGCAGATGTCTAGGATGACGGTTGTTGCGACCGTTTCAAGACGTTACTGTTATAGTTATAATCGATCATTTTGAATTGCCGCAATGCGGTGGCAGGCGTGGGTAGGATACAGGGTCCGGCGTGAGCTGTTGGAGGGAGGAGATAGATGAGGATAGTGCCTTAGAGTTGAGCTGTAGTGCTCTCAAGAAGCTCCCTCAGCTCGTGAGCGGGAAGTCACCAGATGAAAACTAGAAGGAGAAACTTGGTAGTCTGGGATTTTGGAGATGTATTGATAGTCGAACTCTTCTTCTTCCATTTTTTTTCTGCTTGTTTGCGTGATAGATTCCAATGATGCTCTTCTTCAGTCGCACTACCGTCAGCAATATGCGTCAGGCACAGGTATGACAGTGATGCAATGGCGGATCCCACTCACAGCAGGGAAACAGGCCGCGAAGAACACAATCACTTTGAAGGGATCCACAGAAATCGTCACGGAATTTTTTGGATACAGCATCAATAGCATTCTATATCAGGTACGCCATCTCCTTACGTCGGTAGGAGGCCGTGCTGATTCCTGGGACAGAGGGGAATTTATCCTCCTGAAAGCTTTGCAAAGGTCAACAAGTATGGCCTGCAAGTGATAGAGAAAACAAGCAGCAGTCTTGTGTTTGAAGATTTCTGCAGATGCTTGTAACCAACGATTCTGGACTGCAGAAATACCTGCAGCAGGTTCTTACTCAGCTTTCAGGTTTGGCAGCCATTCGTTCATCTGGTTGCATTTGTAACGAGAATTTCCTCACAGAATGGCTGTATGCGGGCAACGTGCAGAAGCTTGTCCTGGTGATCACTTCATTGGAGACACAGCAGGTGCAGGAATCGTTACCAAGTGTGAACCCCCTGTAAAGAAATCGCAGGTGCTCGAACGATGGAATTTTGACATCGAAACGGAGAAGGATGCGGTGATCATTATCGACTCCCAGTCGCATGTCTAGATGTCATTGAGCTGCTCAGGTCGAACAACCGGAGAAGGAGTTCGAGAAGTCGGAGCGGGACATCATGAACGAGATCCAGGTTAGTCCTTTCACCTGTTGTGACTTCAGCGGTAAACGGTTGCTCCTCCAGGCCATCATCAGGCAAATCACCGCCAGTGTCACATTCCTTCCCCTGCTGCAGGATGCCTGCACCTTTGACCTTCTGGTTGTTTGTGTCTCTGCCTGGACTCTCATCGAATCTTACATTCTCCTCCGCAAACAGGTGTATACTGACAGCAATGTGGAAGTGCCACAAACATGGGAGGAGTCAGACCCGAAGTACATCAACAACCAACAGGTCTACTTCTCTTTGCGCTGTCTGTCCTCACTGACCCTCTGGGGACAGGAGGTCCGCCTGCGCAGCTTCAGTACCAAGGTGAAACAATACACTCGTTGTTGCGTGCAAGAGTTGAATGTGTCGCAGGTGCACAAGGTCGATGCGATGGTGGCTTACAAGGCAGATGACATGTAAAGGCCATAAGGGCTTCTAACACTTTTCCCTTAACTGTCTTGTGTCGATGTGAGTTGCGGGCACCTGTAACAAATTTTATCTCTCGGAATTTATTGTTAACTTGAAATTCATCATAAAGGAACACAGATCGTCGCGAGACAAGATGTGAGCTGAACTTGAGTCAAGATATTGAGTTCCTGCAGACCACATGGAGTTGAATGCTCTCTCATGTGGGGGAGGTTGTGCTGTACAGCTTCAGTCATCACAAATTCATCCGCAACTTAGATTGGCTTGATTCTGAAATGCATTTGCACAATGGCAAACACGAAACACTTGATGTCCTGCACCAAGTAATAGAACACCCTGAGTCCCTCCGGATCCTTGCTGTCTTCGACATCCAGCAAGCTTCCAATCTTAGTGGTTGTGAAAGAGATGTGCTCCGAACCAAGCACGATCTGATCAAGTAGGAAAGATCAGCCCCAGTCATGAGATAGATCAGGCACTCACCTCAAGCTCTTGCCGTCCAACCTTGTCAGGCATGGGCCAGTTGTTGTCGTCTTCCTTCATGATCTCACTGTCCGCCACGATCTTCTTGAGAGCCTCACGGATTCCTTCGTTCACAAACACTTCCTTTCGAATCATGTTGTCTCCCTTGTAGTTGGAGTTGTTTGCATATCTCAGCTTGCCGTCAGGCCTGAACTCGAACTCCAAGAATTCGTGGCCGAACTTTCCTTGATGCCCCGTGTAATACCGAAGGTAGAAGTCATCCTCTGCCATCTGCCACAATGATCAAAACCTCGCGGACAGGAAAGCACTTCAAAGATTCAGATAACATTGTAACATTGAAGCAAAAGCCTTAATGCAATTCGATAAACACAAGCGACTGAAAAATCTGAAGCTGTAATTGTTTTCGTCTTACACAACATCAGAAAAGCATCTTCAACCACGACAATGTGGTGGATTGAATTCAGCAGGACAATTATGTAGAGAAGAGCGAAAGACAAATCATAGCAAAATGTCTGTAAGCTACACCGCAGTGCCAGCATCCAACACGTGAAAATGTAGTTAATGCAGGCAAATTTGTGTGCAAGTTGATGGAGAGCTGAAGAGATATTTGAGATTATGAGTTAGAAAAAGCCATGAAAGAGAAAATAGATATTGAACACGGCTATAATAGAATTTCATCAGAAAAACATGCGCAATGATGTGTAAATGTAAGCAGGTGTCATGGCGATGAGGAATAAGTAGCGCGCGGGACGGCAGACAAGGCAAAGACAGGGTCGATGTGAATCAGAGGAAGTACAAGGGAGGACGAGAGAAGGGACAAGGAAAGAGGAGAGGAGGAGGAAGGAACGAGGATAGGATGAAGAAGGAGAGGAGAGGAGAGGAGAGGAGAGGAACCGGAAAGGAGCGGAGAAGAAGAAGGAGAAGGAGAGGAACAGGGGGGAGAGGAGAGGAGAGGAGAGGAGAGGAGAGGGAGCGGGGGAGGAGAAAGAAGCGGAAGGAGGGAGCATGAGGGGCTCACGAGGTGTCTCAGAGGAAGGCGCGCGATACGAATAGGGTGGGGTGATATTTTGAGGGGTAGGGGTAGGACTTTGTTCTGAGGTTTCCCATGATGAAGGGTGGTTTTTTGTGTAAAAGTTAGGGTACTTTTCCGCGGCAAGAACATGTCGGAGGTGGTATAATAGAAATGTGTAGGGGTACACCCAGGGGGGTGGTAATGGAGGGAGTCTGCCTCAGGACACTCACAAACTAGCAGCGCAAGGTTCAACATGGTACAATGAGGGAGGGCGGAGGAGGAGGGATATGGCGTCGCCCTGCCTCCCTCGTCCTGCTCTTCTCAGCATGAAGCTGGAAGATATGAAGTCCTTCGTCCTGTCCTGATCCTTTCTTTTCCTGCTGCTCTTCGAGGTGTTGAGCTGAGGGCGGAATCAAGTCCCACAAAGTTGTAACCAGGACCGGCAGTCGCAACGGCATGGAGACCTGAAGCGTGAAGAAGACATGCAGTCCGCTGGCAGTATGGTTGGGACGGAAAATAGCAGGAGGAGGACACATACAAGGTACACATCTCGGCGCCATTATTTCGCCGATGGGAATGATGGCAGCAGATCTGAAGGGGGAGGGACGAAGATAGTACGGACGGGCTTCATCCACGATGACCAAAGAAACGCGATCAAGGAAGATGTTGTCTCAGATGCGTTTAGGACACTCATAGACAAGATCCCAATACATGTTGTTCTTGGCGGCATGGGGTCAGGGAAGACACACCTCGTGGAGCAGGCGCATTGTGAGGTGAACAGGAGACTCAAGGGGAGGGTTGAAGTTCCCCCAGCCTCTCGCAAGATGCGAACGGTCTATGTCACGTACACACCTCAACGATCGATGTCTCTCTTGCAAAACACTTGCAATCTGGTCAAGGCGCTGATGGTTGAGATGGAAGAATGCAATCCGGCTCCCGATGATTTTTTGTTGCCTCATTCAGAGCTGAACAAGTTCTATGAGATGTGCGAGAGAGAAAACTTCGAGCTTCGAGCTTGGGGAGGTATCAAGATGTCACTGTGTGACATTCTGACATCACTGTTCACCGCATTTTTGGATAGAAAGGGGAGTTTGATGTTGTTTCTCGATGGTCTCAATGCTATGCAGCAAATCATCTTCGGCAGAGCGGTTCTTAACGCTCGCAGTGATTTGATAGGTCGACTCAGTGGAAAGACAAAGAACAAAGGAGGGTTGGAAGTGAACATTCATATCCAGGCCGTGATCACTTGTAATTGCCTTGCAAAGGAACTTTGTGAGCGGAATGGCTATGTGGTCAAAATCCACAGGGTTGAATGTCTGGATCGGAAGGCGAGCTATCATCTGTTCCGCTCCTTGTCTCCTCGAGCAGATGGTTCCTTAGCTCCCACTCTCGTTCCAGAGACTTCTCCTGGAAGTTTCCACGACCTGACTTGGAAAGAGGTCTCCTGCTTCATTCCAGACCACTGCTTTCGACCGTTGACGATCCAATTGGTAGTAATCTTCTCCGCACTTGGCGGGAAGAGAGATGAAGAAGGAACATTCAGTGAGACATCGGATTCTTTGATCTTGACCTTGTGGCTGCGTATCCTTCAGCTCCTTGAACAGAAGTTTGGCAAGGATGCGATCTTAGATTGTTTCGGGTCAAAGAATAGACATGAAGATTTTGACGACAGGAATGTGCAGGTTGTGAGATCTTTCCTGTTGCCAATCTTGAACGATGGACGATCAAAAACTTCTTTGATGCTGAAAAATGCAATGCTGGAACAGACTCTGCAAGAGAGGTACGAGAAGCCAAGACGAGATTTGTTGGGTCGATTGTTGGATTCCAAAGTTGAGCTGCAGGGGGATTGCAAACGCTGTGCTGCTCAGATTATGACAGACATGAGCGATGTGAGTACCAAAGATGCTTGTCTGCAGATTCTACAAGTTGTTTCTTGGATTCAAGAATTTGAAAACATTCGAACATTGAGCATCGTGAAAGGTTGTGAAAGGATGTTGAGTTCGGGAGTGAGGAGCAATCCTTCAGGCTGCATGCAGCTCGTAAAATTTGTACATCTGAATCTTCCTTGGAACTGTAGAAAGGATGGATGGAAGCAAACATTTCGTGACGACTCAAAACAGGATGTCCCTTCGACAGCAAAGTCATCAACGTGCACTCCTGTCTCCCATGGAGTCAGGGGTGAGCACAGCTTTCTTATGAATGACATGGAATGGGCAAGCTATGTCTGTATTGAGATGTTGATGACGATGTATGAGAAGCGGGTTTGCATCAATGACAAGTCTTCGTGCCACACGCTCCTTATGATGTCGATGATCATCGTCACTTTGATGGAGTTGAAAGTTGAGCTGAAGCAAAGGACAATCAAGGGTCAATTCTTGATCAATCGTGTCTTCCTTCCATTGTACAATGACCTCAGAACAAACTCGCAGCAACTTCTCAGTGATTTCATGCTATTTGTCCCTGAGTTGGATGACATGAGAAGTTTGATTTCCTCTGGCAGGATGCAGGAAAGCAACCATGATGAGCTAGTTCATGCCATTACAGCTCGAGATCTCAATAGAGTGAAAAGCCTGATGTTGGCATCAGCACAATCAGAGTACAGTCCATCCATCTGGTGCAGAAACCCCCTTGATGTTTGCTGTCTCATGGGTGACCCGAGATGGTTCGAGGACATGATGCATGCGATGAAGGAAATTTCGACCCAATCGAGAAATGGAGTTCAGTTTGAACTGTCATCCAGCACTACTCATACCATCGCATGCCGAGTTTTGGCATCTCTCAACGCTTTACAGAGAGCCCAATCGTTGAAACCATTCGATGAGTTGATGAGGGAGAACAGGGAGAGTAAGAAAGACTCCACTGAAGTGGGGAAGCATGGGGGTAAGGGTTTCCGACAACGATGTGCAGCTCTTAAACAGTCTTTCGAAATTTTGAATTTGATTTTAGAGTACAAGATAGACGTCTTTCATGAAGTCGGGAACAGCGGCAAAAATTCATCGTTCCTCTCATCGCTTCAAGAATCTGATCGGAGCCAAACAGCTGGGATCATGCAGAAGATTCTGAATGATTTCTGCGATCTCAACGCAGCAGCGACGATCGGGTTTATGTACAAAGAACATACTGAATTTGCGACAAGGACGATGGCAAGGAATTTGCCAGCCAACTTGAGCATGGACGTGAGCTTGCAGATGAGATATCAGTGGCTCTCTGCTTGTACCTCCAACACGCTCCTGCAGCAGGACGCGATGGGTCGCACCCCCTTGCATGCAGCAAGCCTGTCGGGAGATGAAGAATCTCTTGAGAAGCTGTTAGAGTTGCGATGCGATGTGACTTGTCAGGACTGGAAGGGGTGGAATGTGCTTCATGTGGCGTGTGACAGCGGAAACACACAAGTTGTTTGTTCACTTCTCAAAGCCGATCGTAAGATCGCCATGGCTGTTGATGGTACAGGAAGAACACCTTTACATGTTTGGAACTATCAGTCCAATCGACACGTTTGCGAGGCCTACCGAACTCTAGCTGCCGCCTCCACTTGCTCCCCCTGCAAGGTCGAATCCTCCCTTCCAATATGTTTCCGCAAGCTCTATCTTTCTGTCTCTCCCTCCCTCTCCTCCTCCTCTCTCTCTCTCTCTCTCTCTCTCTCTCTCTCTCTCTCTCTCTCTCTCTCTCTCTCTCTCT